GGAGCCCTTAAGTCAGGCAATCTCCACTGGCCGGCGAAACAAGCGGTCGTTTCCAGTTTTGCCCTCTTCGAAACATTGTTAGCCCTATAAATCCCTATGTCATTTTTTCTAAAGATTATCCCACTGTCCAGGAAAGCCACTTACAATCATACGACTTTTTATGAACATATGAAACTTATGTTGTTCCCTTCTCGCCCTAATCGTAAAAATATAATGAAATCTACGGATATAATATAATGAAAATTTTCTACATTTTCATGTCTAAACCAGCATTTATTCACTATATTCACATTTCACTTTTATTGTTATAAAGAAATAAATTTTATGATATAATAGTTAAATGTAAAAATTCAATTATGAAATTTTATTTAAGCATGAAAGTACATAATTTGGGATACCTAATAATTATTAGTACTATCTAAAAAAATAAGATCCAAATTAATCACATTGGTCATTAATTTGTTTTACTGCATTATAATGAATAAAAATAATGGATACAAAACTATTTAATTAAACAAGTATCGTTTATGTCGAATGGCCCGAAATGAAATAAATTAAACGGGTTTTTGTCTTCGGAAAATCGCGTGAAAAACAAATAGCGAGAGAGCGTGAAAAGAAAAGAATTCCTTTCGGGACTGGCATAAGGGCATCAAGCGTAGACAGACGGTGCAAATTCCGTGGAAATAAGGGCTGTCTAAGGGTGTGAAGCAAAGCAAAGGACCAAGGGGGGTGAGGGATGATAAATGGTCACTCATACATACAACCGTTTAGGCGCGGACTCGTTTACAAATCCGGGAAAGGATTTAGTACGCTTTTCGTTTCGAGTTTCCGAGGTGCGAAAACCCAACACCCATTTGGTCGGTGTCGTATAGATATCGATCTGTATAACGGATACGGTTTTTACTGTAAATTTATTTATGAAATCAAGCTTGTTGCAAAATGGTTGGAATCGTAAAAAAACCTACCTACAATTTTCACATCACAATATCAATATAAATTTTTTCTTGTGTATATACTATAATTGTTGGTAATCCTCAATAAATAATAGAGATTTGATGGATTGGTGAAATTGTTCAGTTAGATATAGAATAAATTGGTTTTTGCTTTATGAGTTTGGATGATAAAATCTGGCAAAAGCCAGGAATATTTCAAGAAATAATCTTGAGAATGAAACGCGGGCTAATAAACAATAATGATTTTAATAAGAATTCCAGCCGAGCCGAGATCAGACTCCGGAGTCGTTCTCGAAAGAAGACGGCAAACTCAAGAGAATCTCAAACGACTGTTCTTAAATGTTCACTGGGCCACTTAGTGTTTATAACAGATTTAATTAATTAATTAAATTAATTTAGACGTTCTTACAGCATTTTCGTAATCTTATAGCCAGTTATTACTTTGTAAGTATAATAACTGTAACACTACTTGACAATCTGAGAATTAATATCTTCATAAAATGCCCCCCGGAGCGGCACGCCGTTTGCCGTTTGCCGCCTGTCACCCTTATAAGAGATTATGACGCCCTTATAGCGTCGCCTTTTCTCTGCCTTTCCTCTGTGAACGCAATAACATTACCTGTGGCTCCGGACTTGATCGTATTTACTTCTTAAAGACACATATTACGTTGGGTTTTTTTTTCACTACGACGATATTACACACGGGGTGGTTTATAACGCGCAACCAATAAGTAATGAAATTTTTCAAATTTACACGAACAAATGAAGTGCCATTTCCCAAAACGTGCACATAATCGAATTTCGTGGATGAAATGTGAATTTGAAAATGAAGTAAGCTATGATGGAAACCAAACCACATCGAATTTAGTTTAGTAGTTTTTGAACAAGATAAATTTTGGCAATAATGATCTATAAGCGGCGCATTAACCAGAAATGTGGCTGAATGTGTGGTGTGTTACCCTTCAGAAACATATGGTCTTGGTGAACTAAATTCGCTCACTTACAGATGTTTATAGATAGTGTAAAAACTTTATTTGCTTTCATAATTCTAAATTCAATACCTAAAGAAAATTATGAATAAAGGGCAAAAATTGTAAAAACAGAATTTTAAATCGACGAGGGTAAAGCAGAACGCTGAGAAGCAGGAAAAACGGAAGCGCTAAGCAGGAATAGCAGGAACTCGCGGCTCGCAGGTGCCGAATGCGGGCTACATCGACGTTCCAAACAAATCCGCCAATCTGCCCCCTGTGACTATTAACATGACAAATGCTAATATATTTCACGGCTTTCAACGGATATATAACAGATCTGAACTCTGCCTGCTCTGATATATTTTTCTGTCTTAGTTTTGTTTCTTTTGTTTGTCTTTCTCTTCGCGCCGAATGTTTTACTACATTATTTATACATAGTGTACACATGTACTGCGTTGAAGCGAAAAGTCGCAGGAAAATTTATTAGTTAATCGCTTTACCTTTATAAATTAACAATCAAAAAAAAGTTATTTATGAAAAGCTATTGATTGATGCAAATGAATATTCGATAAAAATAATAACGAAATCGTACAAGTAAAAAAGTGCATGATTTAATGGTAAACTTCTAAATAAATATTCTTCAAGCATAGCATATAATTGTAGGTGAATTCCCAGTCAATAATCCAGAAATAAATTTAGAGGGGAAATCTTTACCAATTGTAATTCCGAGAGAAGTTCGGCGATAATTTAGATAAAGTTATTCCTACCTCATAGATCTGGGTAGAATTAACGGGCATAGTTAAAGCTTACATGAGATTAAGAATCGATATGTTATTTGGGAGTCTGAATCAACAGTGGGAAACTTTGTTAACAGAGCAGGCAAATTAGGAATTACGGCCGGTGAAAAGGTATTTTGCCTTTACTAATTCGTACACGCATTAGAAGCTTGTTACGTTGGAATAATTTATGAACTCTTTAACGTCGAAACATGGTATTAATAATATTCGTGTAAACAACCGAATGATGGTACTTATTTTATAGAAACAAAACGTTGAGAAGCGAATATCCAACTAGAAAATACAGTGAATGTTCAACATAAAGTTGTAAGATATGGTATAGTGTTTCCGGTAGTTGTAAGAGTTAACTGAGCGGTTTTTGAGGTCTGTGAAACCCAATGGGGTGCAGACCATTTCCCTCGATGCATCATAACCGTTTGCCACACTCACATGTTCACATACTTATACTAACCCCTTATAAAATATCCCACATTCTCTCGACTCATTTGAATTCATAATACCTCCTAGACTACAAAAAACACTCCGAAACGACCAATTTTTTATTAAAATTTCCCCAAATTTTCCTTCGGAATTTTATTTTTGTTTGTTTGAATATAGACCGAAACTATCTCATTTTTAAAGAATATATCATAAATCTACCAAAGTTATTTGTATATACCTACATATATTTAAAACAACAAATATTTACATTAAATTCGTTGTAATAACCGAAATAAAATCAACGACTTCATAGATTGTTTCAATTAAAACCTATATTTTATCACGTGTAATCGTTCCATGATCTGATTCTAAATAGAAATACAAACACCAATAGATAGGACGTGACAAGCCCGAATGATTCCACTAATAACTTTACTAATACGACTTAATTTAGATTAGACTACTACTTCAGTGACGAATATGAACCCACCTGCTAGGTATATGCAGGACTGTAATAAGTTCTTATATGATTTCATACACAATTTCCTTATTTTTATTTTTCTACCATTACTTGCAAATAAGTAATTGATCCTAAATTATTACAGTTCATATCGATAGAGTTCTATCAAATATTTATTTCGAGCAAATTATTTAATAACATGAAATTATATTTACTAAATTAAATAATTGTAATGTATATTTGAATTTGTTAAGTAAATATTTTTTAAACAGTTTTCTTATTTTCTTCTAATCCAGTCCTGCATTATTCATTCCCTATATACTATGTATAGATTAAATGTTAATCTGACTTGTGAAAAGCAACGTGACAGGTACCAGGATTGCAGCATATGGTATTATCATATGAAATTTCTTATTTAAATATTATTACTAGATACGGAATCGCATCAATGACTGCATGATTCCGAAAAATAGCTTTTTAGCTACCGAAATTTTACACGAGCGTGTAATTCACTGATAAAAATGTATAACAGGCATAATTGAGTAATGATTAGAAAGCTTTTTTTTAATGAAAATATTATCAGATTAATAAGCACACGGGAGGTAATTAGATTGAATAAAAAATCTGTGGATAATAAAAAATTGCTCCCATTAGAAAATATAGTTTTGTATATTAGGTAGTTTGAGATGGTTGATAAGTTTGTAAAACTAATAACTGGATCAAATGAAGAAGAAACTCGTATTAAAGAGTGCGAACAGTTGTCGCCTCGCATCCAATTTATTTTCACATCACGACTAAGCTGGCCAAGCAAAACAACAAGATATTAACAAAGTTTTGTCACTGTACTGGACAAGGGATTGTCTATAGTCATTAATTTTAGATTTTCCCTCGTTACGGATCCCGCAGAATAACACGACACCTACGGTATCACATTAACAACTATAACACATTATTTTAAGCGCAAAACGTTTCGGAGAATAAAAACGCTATAAAATTTTCAAAGATGCTCAACTATGGCCCCTGTATAGCCGTTCCGGAGCGGAGAAGCGAAGAGGGCGACAGACGTAGGTATCAGTCAGCAGAAGCGGACATCATTCATGGGATTAGCCAGGCTAACCTTGTTAATTGCTCGACTAGACCCATGCCCGTGTGTACCCCAAACGTAAATCAGCACAAGCTAAAAGGGGATGAAGTAGGCTTAAGTCATCACGAGCCACCGTTCGCGTTGAAATTTACACCCCGGATCCCCGATTTCACGGCCAAAACTGAAGCGACTGAAAATATGCTGGATTGTCTTAATGCATCACCTGATGAAGCGTTTTCCTACCTCTTTTAAATAACGTCGTAGAGTTAAAAATATCTCTTGGGATTAATTACATTAGATATTGTTTTATTGCAGATTTCGTGAAGAATAAAAAGCGGGATCCTTCGAGTTGTCCTGTTTGCGGTCTGACCATATCTCCGGGTGATTTAGAGACACATTTTATGCACGAATTAGAGCGGCTTTACAAATTGAGCGGATCTGGAATAGCGGCGTCCAGAAAACGAAGTAGACCGGAGCCGGGTAGACCTCCAGCTCTGCCAGGCGATAGCGGACCCGAGGGACGATGGGAAACTTTTCAACGGATAAAAACCAACCGCCACGGTAGACTTCGGATTAAAATTCGAAAAAGAAAAGCCGACGACGTGTGTTCGATATGCACTGGGCATCCTCAAAGAACGCAGGAGGATATAAATTTGCACGTTGAGCGGTGCATTAGAAAGGTATGTTATTTCGAATATTTTTCCTAATCCAATGTAACACCCGTTCTTCGTTAGAATAACGCCAACGATGAAGACGAGACGGTAGACGTCGAAGGTGACTCGGAACTCGAAGAATGGCACGAATCGCAAAGAAAAAGAACCAGCTCTCTGGTTGGCGGTTTATCGATAACAACAAGCACTGGAAGAACAGACATGGATAACGAGGATGTGATTGTAGACGGTGACGAACCCGAGGAGAGCACATTCGGCCCTTCGCAATATACAGAAAACGACGTTGTGATAAAAGAAAGTAAAGACAAAGAAGGAGTGCAATCGCAGGTAAATTCGATGCGACTTTAAATACCTGCATGATGTGGTTATGCGAAATGTTTTCCAGGTTGCTACGGTGAATTCCAGCGGTGATGTTGAAGTGAAAGTCGAGAGCGTGGGTCAGCAATGCGATAGCAACGTGAGCACTTCGGACGCGGAGCCGAGCAGTAGGGCGCAAATGATTGAAGAACTGAGAAATAGAATTCGACAACTGGAAGCGGAGGGTGGCGGTGGTGAGCCGGCAAGTAGCACCGATACCGAAGACTATAAATGTTTAATTTGCTTGGTAAGATTTGTGGCCTCTTAAGTGATTGGAATGTTTTATTATAAGGGAATCCGATTTTGCAGGAACACTATAAAAAACCTGTTATATCGACCGTTTGCTGGCATGTACACTGCGAGGAATGTTGGCTTCATACTTTGGTAAGTTATTTTTAATTATGAGACTGATATTTTTACATAAATAATTCTCATATTACAGGGTAGCAAAAAGGTATGTCCACAATGCAGCATGATTACTTCTCCTACCGACCTTAGGCGAATTTTTATGTAAAAAAATATATCAACTAACTTATTAATTATATCGATTATTGTCGTTTAGCGGAGAATTTTTAAACAGTCACCGATATAGAATTTTAACATTTAAATATTTTACAGGGTGTTCTTAACTAATGTAATGCATACTCTTTGTGGTGACGTGTTTACGAATCTCTGTATAAGATCAAAGAAAATAATAGACATTTTTAAAACACACCTTTAAAAATACTTGCTTTTAAAAAATAAATTTTATAACGTATAATTTAAACACATAATGTATTCCGTGACTATTTTTCAGTTGTTGTAAGTACCTAAATCATAGAAAAATAGTAAGTAATTAGTACATTTACGAAATGAATAGATACACTTCCTGCTTGTGTTAAAGGCCAAATGTACGAATTTTATTCAATAAGCCTTGAAGGTGTTTTTTGAAAATATGTTTTAAATGTTGAAATGTTAAAGCACCGTATTTATACTTGATAAAATGCACTTTTACTGGTAAATAACTAACTATAGCTTAGCTACTCAAAAGCAGCGTGTATTCATATTATTAAGAAACTTCTGCTACTGATTTAATTCATTTATTACAAAATGTAAATGCCTTTCTTTAGAAAGCCAATCCCTCAAACATTTATAGACATTTATTAACATTTTTGGTAAGTTCCTGTTCCCTATACTAAACAAATTAATTTACGGTTTTCTCATAAAACAAGGTGTGATATTTTATGAAAATAATACCTTGTAAAACGATTACTTACTGATCTATAATTTTTGAGTCATTCTGTAGGTATTATAAATATGTTGTATTGAAATTTTGATCTCATATTTTTCATTGTTAAGAGTATGTTTATAAATTTTATTTATTTTTTATTCGACGTAACAGTAGCGAAACGAAATTCAGTATGTGGTATTATAATAAAAATACATGTTATTGTATTCTCTAAAAAACTGCTATTACTTATAATATCTAACTGACTCCCAAAAAAATTGTTTAATGTTAATATATTGAATATCTAGACACACTTATTATGTAATATAAATATTTATTTATGTTGTTTATACGTACTAAAACATTGTATCATAAATCATGTGTACATTTTCTGTAGATATACACTCGAATAATATAAATGTATTTAATTGAGCAATGTTTTGTTTTATTTGAATATAAATTTATATAAATTATTTAGTGCAGGTAAGTAAATACTCTCAATTAGACCGGTTCAAAATAGGTAGTAAAAAGTTTTATAAAATGTGACACCTCTAAATCATAATGAACATTTCGAAAATCAAAAATTAAAATCTTTGAGTACTGCTGGAAACATTAAAAGTTGATTTTTTTTCAAAATCAAAAGCCATCTAGTGGTAGTCAATATTATTAAATGTTCTTTAACATTAACTAATAGATGGCAGCACTGCGGAAAATTTACACGTTTACGTTGATAAATGTCGTTTAGATGGCGACACTGGTCAACAAATAAATGACACTCGACACTCGAGGTAAAAATTCACAAGACATCTGATTGTCAAATGTTGGGTTGCTCCGTATTTTCACGTGATCTCAACTAGATACAATTTTGCAAAAAATACAGCAAATTTTCCAAAGATGAGTGCACTTAGGGGCATTTTATTTTGTGCGGCAGTGCTGCTCGTTTTTAATTTAGTTGAATCGACCGAATTTGTCCCTTGTTTCATTTGGTCAAATAAAAGGTGAGGATTATTTTGGTTGTTGTATTGCTAATTTTCACGATTTTCCAGCCACACCTAATTTAATATTCGCACTATTTGCGATCTAATAGTATATTTATAATGTTATATTACAGCTGTATTAGTTAAACTTATGTTTAGATATAATTGAGTCATATGACTAGTCTTCTTGAATGTGTGTCCCATGACTTTCGGTTAGGTTTAAAACTACCTTATTTCCTTACAGAACCGGTGATAAAGTACCAGCACTAAATAAAATCAGTCAGGATGTCTTCAAAGAGGGAATGGAGAGACATTTAAAAGATGATTCAATTGATTTGATTGTAGTATACGCAGAAGAAACCGTAAGTATAATATTCACCGCTGTAAATAGAGTTAAACGATCATCTTTCAGTTGAGCCCCGAAGACTTTGCTCAGCGTGACGATGCAGGTGTCGCTTTCCCTAATTTAGCTAAAATTTCGAAAACCACCAAAGCATCCTACCTGCCTAACGTGCAGAGACCCATCGAGGCACTCGACCACCTTGACGCCACTGTAACGCAAGTGTCTGTCGACAAATTGGACAAAGGCCTAGACATTTCCGAGACTGATGTACTTATCGTAAATCTTATCGATGCCGAAGACGATGAAAACAGAATCGACATGTTGAGACGTCACGGTAAGTAAAATAACTCGATCAATATTGACTTGCAATGTATAATGGTACATTTGGCACATTGCATAGTTGAATAATGCTATTCGTTAATAAATTAATGTTTTGAAATTAATATTATACCCAATCTTGTACGCAATATGGTCTATGGGTGCAACAAAGAGAACTTCCTTTAATCTCATATAAAGAAAGAGTGATGTGGAATTTCAACTTACTTACTCTAACCACTGTTATTTTATTCTTTCTTTGTTCAACTCGTAGAATTGACCGAACATATTTGCACTTATCCATACATTTCACCTTACGTTAATTTAAACAGCAATGTACAAAATCAAATCTGGCACGTTGCTTATTTACTTTAATGTACATTTACATTCAATGAAGCTTTTATTTTGAGGCAAAAGGTAGAAGCAAAAAATAAGAGAAAAAGGTTCTAAAACCTTATGCAAATATTTTAAAACCATAAAACTATTTGCTTTAAAGCGACAGCAGTGTCCTCGAATCAAAACCTTTCTTCCTTCTCTTTTTTATGCATATACCTTGAATCAATTGCATCATTTTTTTGAAGCAAAAGGTTGTGCTTCTTTTTATAAATACGGCCTATTGTCATGTGTCTATTTACATTAGAAATTATAGCTTAATTGAAGCTTAAGCTTAAAACAAAATTCCTAATGTAAATAGACACATGACAATGTCAAGTGGACGAAATTTTAAACTTAAGCAACACGTGTAATTGAGTGTAAATGTACCTTTAATGTACCTTTAAACTATCATAAATTAATTAACATCTGTTAATTATAATTGTGACTTGATAACTTGATGATTGTGACTTGAGAATTGATAATTTTGTATCGTTTGTAGATAGCAAAATTGCTTCGTCCTACGAAGAATTCTCGCGTTCCGGAAAGAACATTTTGTGCATTTACACGAGCCGTCATTCATCCTGGGTAAGAATACATCTCGTTAAACGTCGAAGAAACCTAATAGAATTTCGTTGAAATTGCAGTTAGCTTCCGAAGCAGTCGAATCGAGACAAAAGCGATCGTTGTTGCAAGTTGAAGAAAATGCTGAATCTGAAAATGGTACCAAAGTCGAGGGTAAACCCAGAGCTGATGTTCCTGCAAGGGCGGGAGAATCCCCGTTTTGGTCGGGTCCTCAATACCTTATCTACATGACTGAATTAGCTTACGTCACTAAAACCGAAAGGTTAGATTGTTCGATTTCTTTGTACTATTAGACATGTCTAACGTGAATTTAACCTTTTTTTAGTAAAACAGCTACTGGCGTTACAGTTAGTGTAACTCCCGAAGGCGAGAGTGAAAAATATACAGTAACAATCAGTGCAACTAAACCAGCGATGAGCTTAAAGTGAGTGTGGATTTGCAGGACATTGTCCTTATAATAAATTGTTTTATGTTTGCTTAGGATGGTTTTCCAAAATTTGACACAAGAAGGCTATTGGACAATGACAAACAAAATCAATGGCACTTTTGAGTCGAAGGATGTCACTTTTACTTCTGGATCGCCTGTGGAGGTTCGGAGTAAATTCTCATACCATTGTGGTGACCATGTGTTTACCAGTGACTCTGCTAAAGTAACACTTAAAAATTTCCAGGTAATATTTTCTTCCTTTTTCACTGCTTTTACCCCTAGTAGTGTTAATTACAATATCTAGTTAAAATCATAACTGTAACGCTTTTTAAGGAGGTTGCTGACCAAAAATAGCTTTTCAATTTAGAAACCTGTAAAAAATTCAGTCATATAGATTTAATATTACCCGCTTGTCGGTTGTGTGGTTATTTTGAAAGTAATAAAAAATTTGTTTCAGATCCAATTGTACTTCGCTGGTAAAGCTCCTACCAATAATAAATTCAACGATGCATACGATTGCGTTGGTTTCACTTCGGTCCCGATTTGGTCTGGAATTTTCGTTACAACAATTTTACTAATAATAATGTCCATTGGTATTACCATGATGATGGACATTAGAACAATGGATAAGTTCGATGATGCTAAAGGCAAAACGATCACTATCAATGCCGAGTAATTTCAATCTTTCATCGAAGCTGTTTTGCTAAGCTCGAATCAAGTAGCCAACGTTTGTTCACCTAGCAAAATTTTGATACAATGTCAAAAAACTAATTAAAAGAACACTAGTACAAAATATTAAATAGTAAATCAAAACGAGTCTGGCTTAGCATTATTAGCTGATAGCAACATGAAATAATACTTAAATACAGCCTTCCCCAAAAAGTACTAGCTCAGTATTCCACCCGTAAGATTTTTATCCAAAGATGAAGGCTATTGTGATAACTAAGCTTTTATTTTTTATGTCATCTTGAATATCGATCTTATTTGGGTGTTGTACTGTAGGCCTAACTGCCTCTATTCCTTCTTCTATTTCCCTTGGACTTTCCCTTAAAAATATTTTCTTTCGAGCCATTCTAGGAAGGTGTCACCACGGAATGTCCGATTACGTATCATTTCATGCTTGGAAATTTATAAAGTGCTGTAGTTTGTATTGTTTTAATTAGTGAAAGTCAAATTTTGTTTCCGCCACTTAATGTGGCAATTAATTGTTGAATTAAAGGAAATTGTTAACTTTATTGGTTTTATTTATAGTCAATGATCAGTAAGTACACAGCTATTTTATAAACTTCCACCAAGTCAAATTATATTCAGATAAAGAATAATGATAAATGCTTTGGAAACAAGTTTAATTTTAAGTAATTTTATGTATTCTCTTGAAGCCTAATTTTGTTAAAATCGTTTATCATTATTCATTATGTGATTTTTAGCAAAGTCCGAAAGTATATTAAAAATCGTATAAAAGTTGTGAAATAAGGCTTTGTACAGTCAATTTTAATTACGCAACACATTTAAACGCCTAGATTTTAGACTTAGATTATTATCACAACTTTTATTCGGGTGAATATAAATAATCGTCAGTATTTACGTACCCATGTTCGCATCTAGAAACATTTCTGTAAACATGTCAGATATTTGTTAATACCATATTCGATATTAACCAATATTTCCATACATATATCCTATTATAATAAACAATAATCTGTGTGAATATTCGATGTATATGTGTTCTGAAATGTTGAATGTTAAATGTATTTGAGATGGGTACTGTATCAGCAACATAAATAAACTGAATTGTATCTAAAAAAACGAATTAACTATTGTCCATGAGATTTAGAAAATTATCCTACCTATATACAATTTACATTATATATGACAATAGTATTTTTATTATCTTTTGGATTTATATAAACCTAGAAACTTGTTGTTCAAGTAGTAGTACAATAATTGTTGAAGAAAACTGTAGCCTTGACGTTGTTAATAAAATTAGGGTATTTGAAAAAAGCTTTTGGCCTATTTTGTGTATTAGGTCCGCACTATTAAAAAAATACACTAATTTTGTAGGGATGTATCTTGTTTGTTATACCATTATTTTGTAAATAAAATCACATTATACCCCTGTTATTGTATAGTAATATTTTAAAAGTGGCCTTCTTTCTATTGTCCATTCGATTTCTTTCTTTGACCAAACTTAGCTTTTTGGTTAAACTCAAACTCCAAAGGTGAAGGGCTTATTTATCCATTTATTTGTAGAACTCGTTTTATTTGTACATACGTGGTCCTGTAGATCAATTCAGTACCATTTAATCTGTTGCCAAACAGTGTAGATTATGTCATGAATAAATTATTCTAAAGGAATTTAGTTTTCTTTTCTGTTCACTTCTTTATTGTAAAACTATTATTTTATGAAATCCAGATTCTGATAAAACCGAATTAACTGTTACAATAAAAAATAATTGACTTAGGTTTTATTTGGCAAAATTACATTATAAAAAATCATTCTTACAAACAATTCTAACAATACACATATTCTTAATTACTAACAAAATTATGTATTGGCAGCTAAAATAAGTACAAACTAAGTGCACCCAACATATGGACCCTAAAATTATTAAAAAATACAATTGCTTCAGTATTGTGTCGCTTCAAAATCAATTGACTCATTTTCACTTAAATTTGTATGTATGATAAAAAGCGTTTTGTGTAATGAACAATACAATGGGTATCTGCATAAATCTTTCAAACGCCAATCCAGAATGATCATTTCCAAATCGAATAATTTTCAAAAATTGTACCTCGTCAGAATAAAAACAATCTTCATAACAACACTGGTATTGGTTCTCTGTATGTATTAAAAAGAGATATCATAAAATTCACAATTATTTGGAAACGTCCACTCTATTTAATTGCTTTTTATCTGACCATTTTGTACACTTAAGTCATTAACTATTTCTAAAACAGCAGATTGAATGAGGATCACAGATTTTTAAATTGGATTCAAAAGGAAAAATTTGAAAAGTCATTCGTTATTAAAAATTCTAATTTAAAAAGAATAATCGATAATTTTACTCGATTATACGACAATCGCATTCACATAGTGATTTTAATAACGAATAAGTCGGTTCTTGTAAAAATTCAATAAAACGGTCAAATTTAACATTCAATTTTAGTAATCTAACAATTAATGGAACACTAACACAATATTATTACGTATTCATCTACAAAATTTGAACATCACACACCTAAACGAATGCTGAATATTCTAAGGTACTTATTGTAATTTTTTTATCAAATTCTTGGCAAGAAGGACTTTCGACACCATCCATTTAACCGGAATATTGACCTTATCTTTTGATTCAAGTGTACTTTTAAATATTTTTTGCCACACTAACTTAATTTTATTGCTTTCATAAAGGCTTAATAAAATTATAAAAATAAGGTAAAAACTACTAACGTTTTAACGAAATATCCAATTAAAAATATATAAAAATAAATTCAAACAGGTCCCGCAATTAATTAATACATCAAAATATTCATGTAGGTACGTTGTAAAACCGCTATAATAATCTCAAATGTTGAATAAATCAATACTTTTTATAAATACTTCAAGTAATACTAGGCAAATATTTTTATTTAAGGGAGAATTAATTGCAAGACATAAAAATGGCGCTAATCCTGATATAACACAAGCTAAAAAGGGCATTAAAACACGCGTTGGCCAAGATTGTATAAGTAAATTTTCGAAGTGCAATATCTGGTATTCGTGCGTTTACGAAGTGTCTTGCCTATGGCACCCTAACAGATTCAAAACGGTCTTTATTAAAGCGATTTCGTTTAATTGACTATGCTTTTAAGAGGATGGAAATTTTAAATATTTTGAGCCACGACATTTTGTGCATGCCAATTTATTTAATAACTTCAAAAACAATTTAAAATCATATAAAAAGGCATTAAATATAGCTCTGGAAAAAATGTAGTCTTTCCACATTTCATAACATTTTCAAGTTATCCTCAAACTTATTGAAAATAAACAAATAAAATTCAGAACTATAAAAAAATGTCTATTATGTAATAAAAGATGCAAATGCGTATTGCTGTCAAATTCCTAAAAAAGTATATATTTTATACTTAATCTAATATTTTTATGGTTTTTTTCAACCACTTTTTAGGATATTTTTGTACATTTTCGATGATTCAAAATTCGTAAAAAAAATTAATAAAACAAATAATAAAATTAAAAAAAACAACACATATGTAACAGGCACTAACATTCAATATACTTTGTATGTAGGTCTCTACAAAAATAAATTATGGTGCAGATTAATATTATCTGTAAATGGAATGCTTTCAGAAACGACAAGTTTCAGTTTGAATCAGCGACATAAGAAGATATCCACTATAATAATTTCGAAAAATATACCTACTTATCCCCCAGATTCATGCTATAAATTTCATTATTTTAAAGCTAAGCGTATTTTAGTGATTTGTTTTATGTATTTACAAATTTATGTATAGGCTGGAATAGTTTCGGTTTAAATTTCAAAAATTTTAAACGCTCTATTGTGGAACATTAATTTGTAGAAGCAATATTTTGGAACAATTTGTTAGTTTGAATCAAATTCTCGACTTACCAAATGAAAATGAAATAACACGAGTTTTAATTCTAAAACAAATTCAAAGCTTTGGCTAAAACGAATCGAAATGAATGAATTCGCGGAGCATTCGAACAAGCGAAATTTTGGCTCAAAATAAGACACCCATTTTATTTTTCCAGTATTGCTTGATGGGCTCGTAAACCTGGTACTTCAACGAAACCATTTCGGGGATGTTCTTAAGACTATTAAAAAATTCCCAGTCACATTCGAGAACCACAACGGTAGACACGACCGCCAAAATCATAACGATTACCAACGACGGAATAAAGGCGCTTAAGATGTTGAATTTTTTATTTTTCTTTACCGACGATGCGGGCTGAGCCGCGTTCGGCGCGTACACCTTACCATCTACCTGAGAATGAGACAGCGGCGTTTGACTTCGGCTCGAACGGTGCGATGGATTTGTCGTCTCGTATCCGCGATAATTGTCGACCAACTGAGATTCGGATGAGGAATGTTCGAACGAATCGCGAAAGTAATAATCACTAAACCTATCTACGGAATCCTCCTTCAACACTGAAAACCCCGCTGTTAGTTCGTGTTAGCATCGATGCGAATAGCTCACCTGTGGTGCGCAATTTCGTAGCACCCAAAGCTTCCTGGTCTTCGGTAACGGTTTCTAAGGCGGCCACATCGCTGTATATCTGTGATGGATTGTTATCTAATCCAGAAAGCAAACCGATGCTATTGCTCGTTTCCATTCTTGAACCACCCACGTCTGAATGGCTCGACCGTGGCAAACTGCAATATCCTAGTTGAACATTATTTTTTAATCGTTTGCAATTTATGATGCCATTTCTCATAGAAACGTAAGCAAATAACAATTATGTCGTGCAAATGAATAGTATAAATTTAAAGTATTCTCTTATTTGAATAGAAAAGTTGCTAAAAACTTGAAAGTACATTAAGGTTCTTAATGTGAAAATTTAAAAATGTGCATAAACAGATATAAAATATTTACCGTTTTGAGCTTCACAAAAAAAGTCTTTCTGTTCAAATAATGGAATCAAAATTCTGCTTGGTCACTAAATGTCATACAGTAAATTCTACAAACTCTAATTACCTAAATGAGGTTGTAAAGGAGTAGATGGAGTTGCAGGTACGCTAGACGCTTTTCGCCTAATACTAGAAGAGCGCTGAATGTTTGGTTCCTCTCTAGATGGGGAATTACTATCTTCTAAAATCTCTTTTTCAGTTCTACCAGTGTATATGAATTTAGTACCCCAAGAAAAGAAACCTCCTCCTGTTACCACAGTCGGGGCACCAGAGCTAGTTGGCAAACTATTATAAATAATACCTTTTTATTTAGCTAGAACAACTACAGTGCTGTGCCTAGGTGGTAAATTTGAAAATTTATCTATTCTATTTAGAGAAAATTTGACAGAAAATACAGTGAAAATTACTTACGTAAAAAACAGCATTTGTTCCACTGCACATCTCCACACATGCCTGCAAGCCTGTCCTGAGGAGCATTTAAAACCTACAGTGTGCTTCTTCTGGAAATAATTAACAGAAATTACTATACAAACGTTTCACTGCTAAATTGATGGATCACAACAAATAAAAAAATACATAAAAATCAATATCTCTAAAGTGACTTCTATACTACATCATCATTCATCACTTACATCATTGTAATTTAGATGTATTATGAACATTTTGCCCTCGTAATTAATTTTTTGTATATCTGGCCACCTAAAATGATGGGTTTTCCTACTACCTTGAAACGTTAGAATTCCACTGTAGTTTATCCCCAAGTAGAGCTGGTTTCCTTTTTGATCCTGCAACAATCCCTATTTCAAACGTAATCAACAATTGTTCGTAAAATCGATATACCTTTACAGGGTGTGGATCGACTCCATAGGTATCGAGTTGACATGCCAGTTTTAAAAATGAGGTTTCCACTTGACTCTGGCTCTGACCCTTAAGCTGTTTCTGATGGATGTCCATAGCCTTATCTTCTATTGCTTCAGTTTGTTTTAATAGCATTTTCATGTTAGATATATAATTTCCTACGTGTATTTCTGGATCATAATCACCGAGTTCGCCTAAAATAAATTATTTAATGAAATGAAATACAATTGCAGGTAAATTATTTACCTTGTACTATCAGTGCTGCCAGCATTGCAGCTTCATTTGTACCACAATACAGTCTGCCGTGTAATAAATCTCTTTTAAGTTGCAAAAATACTTGATAACGGGTTATTTCTTCCTTAAGTCTAAAGGGGTCAGGTGGATAAAATTTCACCCTAAAGCTAAACAAAACTGGGTCAAGATCCTTCACCTGTTTGCAAATAGATTTTCCCAAATCCAACCAGTGCTGAAAATACCACAAATTAGATAAATACAGGCTATAATTCATTTTATTACTCTTTGATCCTGATTATCCACATATCGAAGGCCTAAATAGTCTTGTTCCACAAGGTTTAATTGCTGACAAACATATTCTAATAAATATTTGCCTTTATGTTGTGGCTAAAAATATAATACTCTTTTAATACAGTACATTTTAAACAAGTAAATATATTACCTTATACTCGCACTCCAATATTTCTGTATCTTCAAGTAGTCTAACAGTACACTTATAAACAATATTGCTGTCATGCTTTGAGCCAAACTTTAACATTTTCTGAATATTTCATATATGTATATAAATCATAAATGAAATAATAGTACAGTTTAATTTTCTAACACAGAACTTTTTAAATAACATTTAAAAATAATAAACAACAAATTTAATGCTCATCGTTATGACGTATTGACATTTCCCAATATTTTTTATCTGGCCTCTAACCTTTAAATTATATATTGTTTTCTTCTTCTTTTTTCTTGAAAAATATCCGGATACCACAAACATTTTATTTTTGATTAATAAGAAGAATTAATGTCATTGTCAATTATGTCAACTTTTGTATAAATTTGTTTATTATATTTTGCTTGCACCACGTGTGTTTGATAAAACGAAAATTATTTAAAACAAACCTAAAGATGTATTTAATGTATTATTTAAATGAATCTGGCGAGCGGGTGTACACATTAAAGGTAAATTAAATCAATAATCAGTAGTAAATTTGTTATAGTTTGCATTAGAAAAATAAATTAATCTACTTTGTTGCAGAAAACAGATCCACAAGGCAAGCCAACAATATCGGCACATCCAGGTAACTTTTATTAGATTGTACATAAAATTGTACTAATTCTTATATTTACGTTTTACAGCAAGATTTTCCCCCGAAGATAAATACTCCAAGGAAAGAATCATTCTTAAAACAAGATACAATTTACTTAAAACTCAACAAGCTGCTCCGGTTTATTAATTGCTTTTAAAATGTTGTTAGATTATTTTTATGTTTTAATATAGGATCAATAATTTTTGTTGCTTTTTAATCAGAGTTACCACATATTTCTAAGATGAAAATATTAATATATTCTATGACAACTATGAATCGGTATGTAGATATACAATAGTATGAGGCTTTGTAACTGTATTTATTTAGCAATAATATACAAAAAATGGTTACAAAAAAAAGCAAATTAATTAACGCCAACAGAAATAAATTTAACGTCTCTTGTTCTTCTTCTTCTGCGTATTTCGCTTTTGCTGATACTGAGCAGGCTTATTGCGTGGAGAAGGATCAACAGAGTTCCCAGTATCGGAAGATTCATCAACAAGTTTGTTGGAAAAATCGCTAGAATAAAAATTAAAATCAAATAAACGCCATTTTATTACTTTGTATGAACCTACTATTGTTCTGCTTGACCAGATGCTGTTCCTTGGGAGCCCTTGATGACATCTTTAGCTCTTCGATCCCTCTTTTTACGGTAACCAGTTCTTTCGTATTTTGGCAACCAACGTTCGGGATCCGGTGCAGCGCTGGAATCATAGTTTTTGGGAAGTTTTCCTTTGCGCTTCTTATGTTTTCTAGTCTTTTTAACAGAATCTTCTCGAGGAGTGCTAAAAATAACATTTTACAAATAAATTGTTCGTTAATTTATATAATCGTATAATACCTAGGTAAAGATTCTTGTTTAGTGGCTGGACTTCTTTTATTGTAAGTAATAGTAGGCAGTTGAGTTGTCTCTAAGTCCTCTAGATTTACATCTTTAGCCAATTCATCCACTGAAATTAATTGGTTGCTCAGTTGCAATGCTTTAGGTTTGTCGAACTAAAAAGCAATATTTAATTTCAGATAGATATACAAAGAAAATGTATTAAAAACTCACTAATGCATACGCCAAAATTAGCTGAGCAATAAGTTTCTTATCGTCCTTGTTGCTTTTTAATAGTTCTTCTAAACTATTAGCAGCAACTTGCGGTAAGCCTTTCCTAATGTGAAATTCTGCGGCTTGTCGCCATAAGTTCGACAAATCAACACCTCTGACCTAAACATTTTTTTATTTAAATAAATATGTAGGTAACGATTATATGCAACTTTTACCTTATTCTTTTTGTAAAATTCAACAGTTCTTTCGAAGATTTTAAGAGCTGTTTTTTCTTCCCCGATACCTAAATACAAGGTTGTCAAGGCTCCAACGATTCCAGGTTTATAACTGTCTTCGCCTATGTTCTCCAAAACCTTGCAAGTTTCCAATTTTTCTCCCTAACACAACAAATTTTCAACAAATATTAACATAGAATAATTGTACAAAAATTCAATTTTTGTATGTACTCACTTGCATTAAGTAAATCTGAGCTATGCACAAATTGATGTATAAATTATCGTCCTTGGTTTTTATACCCTTTAGCAAATTGATAGCATCTTGGGTCTTGCCGACTTTTATAAGATTTAAAGCCCTTAGTACAGTCGTTTGTAAACGAAGTTCAGGCCATTTATCGTCTATTGCTTTGCAAACTTTCTCACATTGATCAGTCTGGTTTATGTAATAATTAAGAATGGCATTATTTAGAGCAATGTACTTCCTCTGTTTTGAAGGCAATTTAAAGGTTAAGGCCTCGTTTAAGGCAACTTTCATTTTCTTTTTGGAATCAAAAAGATTCTGGTCTTTATTGATGCAAACGATATTATTGCTAGCGACGGCCATCAAAGCAATATCATCTAATTTCAATTTTAGATTCGATATGTACATTTGCTGGCTTTCTTTTATTCTCCCTTGTTTTTGAAAAACATAAGCTAACTGAATTCTGAAAGAAAAGGTTATTAAGGATTCATTTTACAATATATTTTAAAGTAATACCTTATTAAAGCCAATTCAATGTCAATTTCCTCTTCAGTTGCTTCATCTTCTTCTTGTATTTCTCTACACAACTTTTCACACTGTCTTAGCTTCTTCTCGGCTTCCGTATAATTTTCTTGGGCAATCAACAAGCAAGCTTTATTGTAACATTGTTCATAAGTATTTTCCCTGAAGTCGTTAATTTCACCAACCTAAAATTATAAAGTACCATTTCATAAATATAAAGATTAATTTATTAATATAAGGAATTTACTATATCTTCGGCATTAACATGAACCATAGCTGCACTAAGGTTAGTGTATCTTTCGTCTTCGTAGTCATCATCATGAGTATTTTTTATAATCTCATGATACATGGCAGTGCAATCATTATATTTTTCTAATCGGTACAAAATTTGAGCTTTCAATTCTTTGATGCGGTAGTCAAGCTCTCCTTCTGTAGATTCGATGATTTTTAAAGCGTCATCGGGTTTGTTAGCACGGTAATAGCAGTAAGCTTTTTCGAAAATCAATTTCCTAAAAATTAGAGCGTGAAACATGGAAGTGTCTATGGAGAAAGTTTCAACTTACTGCAAAAATTGAGGGTTTTTGTTCATTAAAGAAATACCTTCGTCAAAACGGGACAATTGAATTAGACAAACAATTTTACATTGAAATGCTAAAAATTCGTCTGGGGCAACTCCAAGGACTGAAAATTAGTAGAAATTGGTTTCCATATGAACACTTTAAGGTTAGACTTTGACTTACTCTTGTTTGCGGCTTTCAGAGCTCTTTCATATTCGCCATTCTGCCCGAAACGGTTTAATTCCGCATAAAATGTAGCAACATTTTTTTCTTTCGTAGTTTTCTCCGTCATTTTAAGCCTTTTCTATTCAGCCTTTTTTGAATGAAAATTTTAAGTGGTTTATTGCTGACAGGTTGGCACCTGACAGTTCTGACACCGACACGTCATATGCATAACGAGAGCTGCCAAAAATTGAAAGTTTACTATGAAGTTTCAACACATTCTTCTTTTTATTTAGAGCTTGGACGTTTTTTTGGTAACAAATACCAACACTATTTTGGATTCTGCAAGTTGGCAAAAAATACACTCCATTTTGAGTTATACCCATCTTCTTCCTGTCTAGAACTTGGCTAACTTACACATTTATTAACGGATATTGTTGAAGACAAACGGTTGCCGTGGAGATCCATGCTTTTATATGACATAATTGACAGTAGTGACACAAATCACAATTATTTTGACATGACCGGAAAATGATATGTTTGAAAGTTGATTGGCAACGGTAACGGTGTAGTTCCGGATTTACATGAAATTCGATTTGGAACAGGATTTAAGTAGAAGTATATATTTTAGTATCAAAAACTCCAGGAAAATGATGGAAGGATTTAATCTGAAAAAGGAAAACGAAAACTTATTCTTTTAAAATCAAAATAAAAGTGATACATGGACCGATGACAAATGACATATGACGTATATGTAATTTCTGTCAATATTTGTTGTTCTGTGGGCCATGATTGATTTGACATTCTAAGTAAAGTGAACCCATGAGTTAAGGCTTATTGAAGTTATAGCACGAGTTTTTTCGTAGTAGAATTATTCAAAATATAAACTTTATAAACAGTGCAACAACCTATTTGGCAATAAGAAGCAACTAGTTTTTAAGAGTTACATAACGTTCATCGATGTCCTGTCATGTGTAGTATTGTGACGGTGTAAAATTTCAAGTGTGTGGAGATACCATGCTTTACTAAACCAACATGGTTACAGTTCCACTCCATATTGTTCCGTCAGACTTTATTTTCTGTTAAACTCATTATTGGTGTATTAAAACAGAAGAAGTTAAACGACGATGGATACAAGGGCATCTTCCACTGCAGTTAGTCTTCAAGATGACACTAAAGAAGCAGGGGCATCCTACGCACATGCCGTTTTGAACTTCAAACAACAAACGACTAATATTACTAATAACAATAATAATAAGGAAAATATCGAAGAACCACGTAAAGACATACCAGTAGAGACAGTTGACATTTCAAAGCAACCTGAGGAGCCTAAACAAATAACACATGAAGAGGAAGATAATTTTACCCCGGTCGTAAGTCACAGTCGCAAAGAGCGCAAAAATGAAAAAAAGAAAAAACTAGCAGCAGCTGCGGAAAAACAGGATAAGGGCGATTTTCCGCCAAGGGACAAATCGAAAGAGTTACGTTCTGGCCCCAAAGAAAAGAGAGATGATAAAGAACAATCGGCTGTGAGAGAGCTCAGTGAAAATCAAAGTGATATTAAGAAAGTTTTTGTTGAGGCGCCCATTCCTAAAACCAACCCTTGGCAGTTGAAACAATCCGTTCAACCCCCACAGAAAGAGGAAGCGACTACTAATACGCCCTCGGTAACTGTTGCTGAAAAGAGAGTACTGCAGCCAAAAAAGCAAGAAATTACTGTCAGTGGTGCAGAAGTTTCTGGAGTTGTTAAGGCATCAAAAGATAAAAAAAGATATAACCAAAAGGTATGTATTAATTTTTTTTAAACAATTTACATATAAATCCTATTTAAAACATACATGCCCAATTTAAATGCATGGTATGGTTAAACTACCAATTCTTTAAAGATAATAACTAATTCATATTTGATAAGTCATGAACAGTTTTTCAGTATTTAATCTACTATTTTATTTAAATGTTTTCTACCTACCAATCTTTTCATACTGTGTTTATTATAAATATACAGATAATATTTTTAATATTAGATAAACTCTCTGAATTGGCAATAATAATTTAACATAAATAGTTTATCTAATTTCTTAAATTAAATAACCTCATTTACTTAAAAACCTAATAATAATTTTAACAATATCAACTTTTTCTGATATTGTTTCCCATTGCATAAATATTAAAGGACTACGAGTTTATTACATAATCAAGCAGGTACAGCTACCTACATATTTTGATTTTTTTTATAAATTGAATTTCATAGTAAATTTATAAAAATATTTATTCGAAACATCTTTACTGTTCTAATTATGTCATCCACAAACAAGCGGGACAAACTATTTTTGTGCCAACAATTCGAGAAAGTGCGAGTATACTTTTATTTTTGTTTACAAAACAAAAATACAGACTAAAATTATTTACCTGTTTAGATATAATGCTATTTTTAGTCATAGAGATGCTATTTTATTTTCTTTTCACTTTAATCTTTTTTTACTTTTCCTGTTGATGAGCATAATTCTTTGGTGCGAGTAAATATTCTTATTTTATTTTTTTACATTTAATTTTCTTGTGAATTAATAAATTTAGGGGTAATAGGTACTATATAACTTTGCAGTATTTAGGAAGTATTTATAGAGTAAAGAGGCTGGTTTTTAATGAATACAAAATTATTCTGATAAAGTCAGACAGAATACAGCTATCTGAGGAAAGGAAATATGACTATGAAGGTCGAGTTAACGGCATTCTAACATCGGCAAGCTGTTTGAGTTGTAAATTCTAATAAAATGCTAAAATTTGTTTTAATTCTATTGATTTGTAAGTAAATAACTACATGGAAATAAATTTAGTCGCAGTTCAGGTGGTATAATATTAAGTAAGTACATATCATTTAACACACTCATTTTGAAGGAATAAATCTCATTCTAAATCCTAACAGGGTTTTTGATCATTAAAGCTACGCTTTGATTAATAAATATTTCATGAATTGCAAATATAACTCGTTTCCGGTACCTAATTAAAAATATAGGCTAAAATGTCAGCGATGATTTAAAATGTATCAAAACTAAATTTCCAATTCTGTCGTTAAGTACTGTTATCGACAGAGGTTAATTAAAATTTTTATCTTTTACGGCGACTATTTTTAATAAACTACTAATTCACTTTATTATAAATTTCATGGTCACATTACATGGCACGTTGTATTTAAAATTCCAGTAATACATAGTGGAATTAAAATGTGTTTTAATTATTTTTCTTGACAACTGTTCTGTTTTGAGTATTTCTTTTGTGGAAAATATATGGACATTATGCCCAGATTTCAAGTAAGTTGTAATTCGTTAGATAATAATAAAAATTCTTACTAGTTCATAGACGTAGGTAAGTAAAAACGAAATCGTTTCTTTTGATTCGACGTGTTTTATTAATTGTGAGGTTGTGGATTTTGTGAATTTCTTTTACAATTTTCTATTCATAAATTCTCATAATGGGCGGTGGCATTTGTGAAGGTAAATATGCGCGAATTAAAAAAAATAAATTCATTTGTGAAATTAAAAACTAGTTTAGTCAGGCATTTAACTGCATTTTAATAGCATATGAAGCCGTATGTAATGATATATGTATATTTATCAAGGGTTTTTAAAAGTCACACTAATCGGAATATAATCTAGTTAATTATTTGAAAAAATAAAATTTATTCATGTGTATTTCATAGCGAAATTACGAAATATATGTTAATTTATTTAGAATATATATTGTAATTTAAATATCTAAAGACAAAAATGTCAGGGTCTTTCCTTTAAATACTTTTATAAAGGGGGGCGCGAATTAAAAACTTGCAATTTATTATATTTTTTCAAAAAACTAGATATTGGTAGCTCATTCACAACTAACTTATGAACAAAACAAGGAATGTTTTTCGTTCTATGCCAAATTTTCTACTTAATTTTCTACTAATTCTCTCTTAAATTGATGATTCAATTTCATTTAATTTTTACTTGCCATATAACACCTACGTAGTTTTTTTTAACTTAACAGAGTGAATTTAGTGATAGATACACATTTAATTTGGCAGTTTTAACTTCCAATATTTTTTCGACTACCTGTTATAATAAACATACATAATGTATGGTATATTATGTATTTGTAATTCTATTTTGGACTTTTGTATGTTCTCATTTTTACTTACTTTGAACAATTTGCTATTTTAATCTTTTTTCGCTTACCTGAAATTCTGTAGTTCTTTCTACTTCAAGGTCAGAAACATACCTGTTACCTGAAAATTTAATGTTTTTTTTTTATTTATATAATTAAAATTCTTGGCATTAAGTAATTTGCAATTGTTGTTTACTTAAATAATTTATTATCTTGTATTTTTTATAGGGAAATTTCCCTACTTATATAATGCAAATCCAAATATTTTCAATTTCCGCTAACGGGACAATAAACATTTATCATAATTTGAGCCCAGTGCAGTAAACATTATTGGATATACATAATTTTCAATTATCGCAATTAATCTATGCATTTTATTAATCCATAGGTTTTATTCTATGAACTATTAGTAATCAATTGTAAATGATGTATTTAATGTTCTTGGTAAGTCAATAATGAGACGTCATTGCTTATTAGCGTGTACAAAAACAGATCAGAATTTCATTTTAAAGTACTCATGTTTATGCATAGAAAAAAATACTTAATATTTTAATCAATGTAGATTCATTTCAATAAAAAATAAATTATATTGGATTTCAAATTACTCTATAATAATTGTTAATAATTCAGGCGAATTTTAGAGTTTATTGTCAACTTTTCAATTGCTTGTTATTCTGTTGGGATAATTTAACAAAATAAATTGTGTTTAGCTTATTATCATTATTCCCCTTTAAAATTTTTTTCTTCTTCCGGTCTATTTTGTTTACGTTTCTTTTGTGTTGTTTAGTATTAAATAAAAATGAAAACTTAATCAATTTTGATATTGATGAGTAGAATAATATAAGTAGAATGGTAATTAAATAAAAAAAGCTTATGTTTTTAACATTGAGAAAAGTTTTCATGATTGAAATTTTTTTCAGGCTAGTGATTTTACTGATATTTGTGATTGGCCATCTCTAGGAACTAATGGTACAGAGGTGAGTAATGTTTGTAGTACTTACAAATCAAAAGAAAGACTTGGTTAGTTATTTTTTTTTCGTTCTCTTTACTGGTATTTGTTGTGGTTTGTTGCTAACGATTCAAATTTAATTTTATTAGAATTTGAAAAAATAAATTGTTTAGGTAAGTTCATTTTTTAGTACGACAGTAAAATAGGCCACATTCCTCTTTATTGCTTTACACATTTTTGTGTACCTCATATAAAAATAATCTGCAATATAAATAAAAACACGTGGTAATTTATATTCACGATATACTACATAAACGAAAATGTACTTGCAAAAATTTTACAATGTGAAACAGAAAACGATTAACATAATATGTATGTACATGTATGTAGGTAGGTAAATCACAATCATTTAAAAATATAAAAAAATTCTATTCATGACGGTTGACTTTTAAATTATTTAACTAGTTTTGTTATTCCTATCGATCTGTACTTGAAAATTTAGATTTAACACACCTGGAATTATTTTTTGATAAGCGGATGAATGCTGTCCTATATTTTTTTATTTGTTTAATGGTATTTTTCATGTCTTATTATTGTTATATAGAATAGTTCGTGAAGCATCTGAAATTTTTCTATGGACCATTTCATCCAATTTAGTTTCACAAAAGTTTATTTGATTGTCGAAATATTTTAAGCTTGTTGTCTATCTCTCGGTTACTCTGTCAAAGATCGTCGAGAAATGTTTCAGAAAATAATAGTCAATCAAAGAAGATATAATTGTCATCTCATTTTCAATCGATTTTTTATTGTAGGGTTTTATTACAAACCTAGAATTCTCGTAGAGGAATCGGGCTACGTTAATTTTAAATAAAATATTGACTACTTGTATCGTAAAAAAATAAGCCAATCGTAACGAGAATTATTCGTGAATAATTTTGTTTATGCATTCAACTTAGTATCATGCTATTTTAGAATTTTTATGCATTTTAGATAAAGCAATCGTACATTTCAGTTCTGATTTAACAATGGAATAGAGAAACTATATTTATAAATAAAACTTATGCTTTCATTGTACATTTTTAAAATTTTTTATAAACGTTTAAAATCATAATGGAACGTTTCTTAATTAATGGAATAACTGTTCGTTTAGTGATTATGTGTTAGTGATATGCAGGTTTGGAATTTTACATTTTTAATTACAATTATGAGTATATGCATTTTTAAATAGCATTGGTAAACTATATTGCTAAACAAACCGAACTTTTTGACAAACTATAACTGTATTTTTCTTCAAAATAGAAAACAAGTGATAGTTTTGGTGTATCATTTATTTTATTACGTTTCATTTGCGTCAATGAAATAAAATTTCAGTAGGATTTAAATACGCATGCATTTTAAATCGTGACTTCGACTGTACATGGTTTTTTGAATGTACTTATACTTAAAATTTTCATCAATTGGCTGCTACTAAGGATTATATCCGTTGATAAAAAATTTAAAATATCGATAACCTTTCGACACATCACGTTTATAAAAACTTTCTTACTCTTCGAGCAAAAATCGAATTAAATTGATAAAAAATGTATGTGTGTGTGATTTTTCGTTGAAAGTCGATACGGAACGGGACACATTCTTGATCAGTTAAAAATTTTAATTCAATATTACATTATCACGTTGTTATCAGAAAACAAAATATTTTATTGGTTTTCTGATAACGTACCGGGCCATTGTTACAGCACACAATACGTTTATATTTTGCATATGTTTATATTTTATTGGTTTGTTAAAAATTAGGAATATTTTTGGAACTGTATCACTCAATTACGTAACCGAGTTTACAATGTTGCGTACATTTTGATGCGCCAATAATATATAGAAAAAAATCATCTATTACAGCAAGAGCGGCAAAGTTACATTAATTTATTAAAATAAAAGAGTAATTGTTGATTATAACTAAAGTGTTACTTGTGATAATATTACTCGAAATGCGTTCGTTGGATAATTTTCTTATAGTTAGTGAATTTGTTATTACTCATAAGTGTCTATATTTAACAAGTAAATATTCTGACTTGCAATCATAACATACTGCTATCACTTATCCAGTTCTATTCTTAAAACTGCCCCGTTAGCATTTTTGTAAGAAACATTGTTTGTTTTGTATTTCCAGCCGCGAAAGAATATCGTTGCAACGGGAACGGGCCATTCTTCATCGTCTTCAGCAGCTTCCACGTCTAAGGAGCGTCCAAATGGCCAAAGTTCTGAGGAAGCCGATGATAAAAGAAAGCCGATGAAACACAAGTGGGTGCCGCTCGAAATAGACCTCTCGAAGAACCACAAGAACGATCGTCGACGAAATGATCGAGCTGGAGACGAACGTTCTACAGTCAGCGAAGGCGATAAAGATTGGAGGGCCGAAAGAGAACTCAACGGTCACAGTGGAAGGCATTCGCGGCCTACTCCCGGATCTAGAAATCGCAATGAGAGAAATAGAGGAGGAAGAAGAGGTATACATAACAGACAGAACAACAGGGCTCCTAGCAATCCTGATTACTTAGACTTTTATTCACCAGATTTTGCAAAATTCGGTGAAGGGATTGATGGACAGACATTCATGCCTTACATGGGAACTTTTTACTTTAATAGTAACAATTACTTGAGTTTAGATGGTCCTACTGTTAAGGAATATATCCGCAATCAAATGTAAGTTGTTACACACACAACCGCTCAAAAAGTACATACATTTAACCGTTTTTATTTTCGTTTTCAGAGAATATTATTTTAGCGAGGATAATTTGAACAGAGATTTCTTCTTAAGGCGGAAAATGGATGTTGAAGGTTACCTCCCCGTTACTCTGATAGCCTCATTTCATCGTGTACAAGCTTTAACTAGTAACGTTGCGCTTATTGTGGAGGCTATCAGTTCGTCCGACAAACTTGAGTTGACTGCAGGTTTTAAGGTAAGGCCAAAAAAGGACCCGCTGAAGTGGCCGATTTTGGACGAAACCAACGAAAAGAAAGAAGAAATTATTTCCAAGTTGGTACCACCGCCACCGTTGCCTAAAAAACTCAGAGAAAAGCAAATTGAGAACCTCAATCCTGACGTCGCTGAATTCATACCTTCTGATCTAGGTAAATGAAATAAATGTTTAAAAAAGTTCGTTAAATTTAATGACGTTTAATTTTAGAGAAACAAAAAATTATTCATAACGGCATTTCGGGTAGAAATTCCAACGCCTCTTCCGAATCTCAGGACAATCCTAGAGACGCTGAGAAAGAAAAGAACGAAGACGAAGAAATCTGGAGGGAAGTCAAAAGGAAAAACAAAGAGAACAAAATTAGGAAGGAGTCTAAGATCAAATCTTACGAAAGAGAAGAATTAGACTTTCATTTCGACGAGGAACTTGATCAAGAAGTACCTACTGGCAGGCAAAACACCTTCAACGAATGGTATTATTTTATATACATTTATAATTTGTTTGTAAATACAACTTGCGTTTATTTCAGGCCTTCGGAAGATGATTCTGATGAATTGAGTGATAGAGACGTTAATAAATTGTTAATAGTAACACAAAATACCTCTACTGCGCGAGCACCAAAGCATGAAGGTTATGACAGAACTGGTGACTGGATGACTCGAGTTAAAATGAGCCAAGATTTAGTACAAACTATAAATGATGGCCTCTATTACTATGAAAAAGACTTATGGCACGATCAAGATTATGTAAGTACTCGTTATATTGTGTTAAAAATTGTAATTAATGTTTGTTTCCCTTTTAGGAAAGAAGCTCAGTTGAGAGTTACAAGACTGTTACCGTTATTAGTCAAGAGGATTTCAGAAAGATGGCACCGCCTGCTCCGAGAATTACTAACCCACAAGTGCCTCCTCCTCCTCCGCCAATTGTAAGTGATTGTTTTAATTTTCTAAAACGAGCGTTGTATTCAAATTCATGCTTATTTAGATCGACACCGCTCCAAGACAACAACCCGCCAACAACAGAAGAAAATCGAATAAAACGCCAAATCGAAATGTACCCAGATTTTACGCTGTTGTTAAAGATGACAAACCCGATCCTAGTACACCTCGCAAACGGAAAACAAGACACTTGAGCAATCCCCCCGTTGAACAGCACGTCGGATGGATTATGGACGTTAGAGAGCACCGATTGCGAACGACGTCTACGGGGTAAATTAATGCAAGTGTGTTATTTGACGTAATTATAATCTTGATTAACATTCCACAGAAGCAGCTATGGAACGAGCCCAAGTGACGCTCATTTGGGAACGAGTTGCGGAAGTTACGGTAGCGTTCCTCAGGCTCTTCCAACGTTCCAGCATCCATCACACGCTCTGTTGAAAGATAACAACTTCACCCAACAGGGTTACCATAAATTCAGACAAAAGTGCCTGAAAGGTATGTCTCAAAAGCTCTCCTTTTCTTAACCAAATGTTACATTAATTTCATTTTTAGAACGAAAGCGTTTCGGAATAGGCCAGTCTAATGAAATGAATACTTTGTTCCGTTTCTGGTCATTCTTTTTGCGAGAAAATTTCAACCGAACTATGTACACCGAATTCAAGACGTTGGCTCTAGAGGATGCTACTGAGGGATATCGTTACGGGTTGGAATGCCTGTTCCGTTTCTATTCCTACGGTTTAGAAGTGAAATTTAGACCGCATTTGTACGAAGATTTCCAACAAGAGACCGTTAGAGACTACGAAAACGGACAGCTTTACGGTTTGGAGAAATTCTGGGCATTCTTGAAGTACTATAAACATGGCAGCCATCTCACTGTTAATCCAGTCCTGAAGAAGCATCTGGACAAATTCAAGACTATAGAAGATTTTCGCGTTGTTGAGGTAATAATTTACTCACGGTGTACAGGGTGAATTTTACACAGTTATATTTTTTTTAGCCAAGAATTGACGAAATATTTAGAACTCACAACGGAAGAGGCAATCAATACAACAAAAATAAACGGAATAGAAGCGTATCGGAAAGTCAATCTGCAATCGCCAGTACTTCTAGAGAAGATCATCGACGACCTTCACACAGCAATCAAAGGTAAAATAACATGGTATTGGTTTAGAATAGTTTTAATGGATAATTTTATGATTAGAAACGAAAATGTTCATCCGCAACCTGGTACAAGCGCTCCGGCTGATTCGGGATTCAAATTTGCGAGATCCCGTGCCCAGTCGTTCGGTTCCGGGCGCATTCGAAACAACAGCACGCGTCAGCGCACCGATTCGTGGAGACAGAAAGATTGAATCCAAGGTACATTTAATCACTACCGGATTACGCAAAGGAAAACGCTATTTGTACTAAGGTGTTGATGTAACTGTTAACACTTTCATTTTATAAGGCTATTTTGGAATACGGAGCTGATGTAATTCATCTTCGGCTTACAACTACTCTTATATATCGTATATATAAGTTTGATTTCCAAAAATATACAAATAATTTGGGTACTTTAAGAACATAAAAAGCTTAATTTAAAGGTTGAAGGTTCTAGATTAGAATGTTTGGTGCCATTACCTTTTAACTTTTACATTTTTGTACTTTCTTAGCAAAAGCGAATAGAGTGGAGTCAAACAGCAATATATAAAATTTTGTGGTTATAAAACCGTATCGGTTTGTAAAAATTTTGTACAATTTTAAAATCTTGACTTTTCGAAATCGTAAATTACACCTTGAACAGGAAAAGGGATTCAACTTTGTGTTCCTGTTCTTCAATAGTCACGCTGAACTGGATTTATACCGTATTTCCTTGTAAATAATGTAAGAACTCTATTCAATAATTTTTCGATAAATTTTAAGAAGAATACATTATGGATATGAACAACAGCATTTAGTGTTTGTATATAGCGTTAAATAAGTATAAATCCTATATATTGAAAATTAAACAAATATGTATATTCAGATTGTTTTGCACAAAAGCACTAAGTTTTCAAAAATACCCAAGTTGATGTATAAAAATAATGTGTTCATACATATATCGCTAAAACAGCTTGTTTTTTACTCGGGAACTTATTACAATTTGATCCATTTCTCACAGCAGTTATCGTACAAACTCAAGTAATTTTATTAAGTTCCCAATTTCCAAGATCCTAAGTTATGATATGATAAACGTGTATTTCCACAATAGTGTATCATTACATAGCGTTTAACGAGTTTACAGACGAGTAATTCACTTAAATCGATACCGATTATGCATTTCATAACAGTAATTGATCGCGTGATAACTTACTAGATTTTAAATTTAATGCTTTATTGGGAGACTTCCGAAATCTTCTATCACTGAAAATCTTATCAGGTTTTAAAGTTACGCTGCAAGAATTCTTAGGTTGATAAATTACAGTAAATGAAAAAATAAGGGGAAAATTGTGGGAAGTGGATCTCTTGACAATGTTTCCGTGTAGTTAGGAGGCGTATTTTTTTAGTTAATTATTAGTTAGTCAGTTGTTACGTTTTATTTGTTCTTTTATTTGTACTCATTAGATTTGGTTTGTTCACACTTTTAGCTTAGTTGGGATCTAAAAATTATTTGAATTACTTTATCAATGGTAAAACTGTTTCGTTTATTATTTTAAATTATATCAATCGCTAGACAATGAAAGATCCTTTAATTTCAATTTCGAGTTGCTCAATATGCATTGTAAAATTTGCAGTAAAGTAATTCAAATAATTTTAAGATAGTTATAACGTACAGGATGTTTTATTTTTTAAATTGTTTTAATTTAGTTCGATTAGACTGTACTTATAATATTTCAAGTAATTTCGTAGGAAATCGGACACAATGAATTATTATATTGTACGGAAAGTATCCGAAATTGTGTGAAGTTCATGTGGAAGTTCCACGAGTAGTTTTTACAATCATCTACTAGTAATATTATATATTCTAAAACTTAATAATATTAATAATAATTTAATAATAATAATAATAATAATATTGACTAAGAGAATTCATAAAATTGAACAATTCCTTATTTTTGCACTTCAATAATGAATAGCTGCTTGTTATTTAATATGATGGTATTACTAAGCTACAACGCAAAATCGAGTACTTTCTATCCATTATTATATACTTGAATTAATATTAATTGTTAAAAGCTCTGTACGTATTATGTATAAAAAGTGTTCAAGTCTTTTTTGATGGTGGACGTGGTCACAATAATTTTATAAATTTAGGTACACAATTTGGGTGTATTTAAGAAAATGGGATACCCTTGTAAATTACGCAAGTTTCTTAAATTAATTCTGATAATTTTCTTATTTCTCTACGTGTATTGAAATAAATCGCTATTGAAAAATAATTTTCTACATATCAAATAAATTCTAGAATAAAACGAGCAATTGGGATATGTTTAGGAAATTTTTTCTAGTCAAAAATTCACACAAGGGATCCAGTATAAACGAATCCAGGTCTTTTACCTGTTTATAAAATTTTTGATCTGCTTTCATCTCAAAAGTCTTCGACCTGGGCACTTTATTACAAAATATATTAACGAAGACACTACATAAGTCCTCTTCCACTTATCTGCCTATTATTAATAACCGATTAAATCCGTACGGTACACTAAATTAGATTCATACTACTTTGATTTTAAGAAATTTGCAAACGGGAATTAACTTGCCTAAGGAAGAGGAAAGCATACTGTTGAAAGATTGAATTTAAAATTTCATTGTTACGGAGACCGTTCGATTTTTATGATAAATTAACTAAACAATTATTTATTAATAAAAAATTATAGCTAAATTGGTTAAATGCTTAAAAATTAAAATAAGTAATTGTAGTAAGTTTAGTAATTATAAGTAGGAGGTACTTTAGTCTAGTTTTGTTTCAAGAACGGCAGAACTCGTAAATTTGAAATTCAATTTTTTAAATTGTAAATCCAAAAAGCCGCTTAATTGCTCCAACTTCATTTTTTATTTTTATACAAATCATATGACACTGCCGCAAATGTCAAATAAAATTTTTGTCGTGTTTTTAATACGGCACGAGTGTTTGATTATCTGGGTTTTTCTTCGTCGATGAAAAGTTGGAGCGGAGCTAAATTAAATTTGTTTTTTTAGTACCTACGTTTTTTTGTTTTAAATATACTCTATTTTTATTAATTTTTTTCAACTCCTGTTCTGTATCTTGACAGGGCATGGGTATTGTACCGTTTAATTGTTTTAAATACCCTATTATTAATTTTGTGTGTGAGCATAAAATTATTTATAAAATTTATAAAGTAATTTCTCTGCCTGTCGATAAGGGATGAGAGCGTTTTGGTGCAATTGTTAAAATGACAACGCTTATCACAGACAGAGAAATTAAGAAAAAAATGTGATAATGGGTGTAATTTAGTGTTTGCTTATTCTTGCATTTAAGTACATATATATATTATAAGTTAGGTTGTAAAGATTGTTGTGGAAGTATTTGCGAATTGTCTTCCAATAACACAAAAAAATTATAAAAATAAAAAAAACAAAAAAATGTCATTTTATCAAAATTTTCAGAACAGTTCTATGCATATTGTGCGAATTTGAGCTTTTTATTTCGAAAATCAGTTCTGTTCCTACACCAAAATTTATTTTTTCTTTGAATTGTATCGGAAAAATTTCGTTATATTTCATAATTTCATGTAAATATTAAAACGTAAGTCACTATGATTGTTTTATTTAAATTTTAATTATTCTGGGAAATATTTTAAGTCTTAGGCGAGGTAAAAGAAACTCAAAATACTGTCAAAATATTTACTTAAATAATAATATAAATAATACGGAACTAACTATAAGTCCAGTTTAAGTATTGGTATGGAATTTACAATGTAAAAATGGCGAAAATACACGTAAGTTTGGGCTTTGTGGAAAAAAGTTTTTTTTTCTACTTCAAAATGAGATCCTGAAACGTACAAAATTAATTACATCCACATTGTTGCATACATTTGAATAGTGTTTAAATTAGAAAAATATGGTCCCTCTTCATTACATTATGAAACAATTGTAAATTACCCTAATTTATTATCAATTCATATTTTCGAATTTAAAAATTTACCAATTTGATTTAAATAAAATTTGCTAAACTATGATTAAACCCTAAACTATAATATGTATTATTTGACAAAATTACTTCAACTTGTTTGCAATGCTTGTGATAATTTAATAAGTTCACAATGTAGTAAATTTAAAGTATTTTTGTCAAATCTTATTGAATGTGCGTAAACGTATAAGTTTGGATTACCCGCTTTTTCTGAGAGATGCTCCCACATCGCCCTCTATACATAATATATGTACTTACAAGGAGAGCTTATAGGCCGAAAGATTGTTTGCAGTATTTTTCAAAAATCCCTCAACTAGTTTACAAACTACATATCTCGAATAGTAAGCTCCCCTTATTTGCTATATCATACATGGTTCATCTTTAAATAAATAAATGCTTGGTATACATATATTCACTATAAACATATTTTACACTTAAATGGTAACAAGATGCTAGCTACTAGGACACTGCTCAGTCTCTGTGTTACTATCACTACTAGTCGAGTCTTTACAGCACCGGCACTGTTTTTGGTTTTGCTCCTGCCTTTTCCGTCTGTCACTCTTAAATGAACGATGGCATTTGGTGTTGCACTTTCCAGATCTATATACAGGGGCTACTACTTCCACTTTTATGTTAGCTGTAGCGGTCACTTTAGTAGTGAATTGGCCGCTGGAGCTCGATTCTGGGCTGCTGTATTCCACCGTTACTTGAGGCTCGACGACGATGCTCTGGTTACAGCTTTCTTCGGTTATGGTAGTTAAACTAGGTTCTCTAGTAGTCTTATTGGAAGCATTCCGTTTTGGAGGCTTTGAAAATGTATTTCTAGTCGGAACGGGGGAAGGAACTGAGGGTGGCGGTGTTGATATTCTATCTGTATGTTCAATAGGCTGCAATTCTGCTTTTGGCCCAACAAGAGCTAGTAGTAACGGGAAGAATATGAAAGAATTTGCCAGCGAACCGCCCACTGATAATAAAATTAACGAGAATAGGTGTAGGTGGATGAATTCGAATTGCGATGTTGCTAGAACTGCAGAACAAACGAGCAAACCTAAATCGCCTTTCAGTATTGGCTCCGAATTGATTTCGAGGGACAGTTTAACTCTTCTTTCGCGGTTACCGATCGAACTCAAGTAACCAGTGAGAATAAGAAAAATGTTTCTTGTGATAATAATGAAATGTAATGCTCCTATAGTCCCGCTAAGAGCGTTTACGTTTAGTAAACATAATAGTAAGAGGCATGCTAGAGTACTGAACAAAGCACACCAGAGTTTGATCCACTGTACCAGAACGCATGCCACTACAGCTGCCGAAAGAAGAGTTAAAAGTAACTGAGCCGCAAGAAACCGATCAAAAAATAAAAATTGATTAAAATAAGAAAATATTAAACCTATAGGAAAATTCTTCAATCCTCTGTTGTTGAATTGCTCCGATATATCTTTGATCTGTTTCAAAGTAGCAACGATACTTGAGGTAGTTTTTAGGTTCTTCAGATAAAAAGGCATTTGTGTATAAACAAGAGGTTGTGACTTAGGAATTCGCAAATCCATGTCAATTTTGGAGCTTTCGTATTCAAAAGGTTTGGGCGTTAGGTTACCTTGAGAGCTCGAATACGATATTTGATCGTTGCTATTCCACACAGATAAGTAATTATAAAAAGCATTCGGATCAATAATATTGTTTCTCACCAGTCTTTTCTTCAATATTTGACTTTTGTCAACAGGATACTGCACTACACCAGTCTGCGATAACAATTTGAACGCTAATACTGCTTTTTCCGTCGCATTCGGGAACCACTTCTCGCTATTTAAACAATTGTTATTTCGATTGTAATCGAATTCCTGCTGCAAATCGACCAGGAACTCTCTAAAATTCGCTAGCCAGAAGTCGTTCATATTCAGGCCGCCATTCGAATCTTTCAAAACGTGAGGAACTTGCGTCAGTGAGGAATGATACTCGTACAATAGAGGCTGATTCAGGGGATACTCCAGCTCCGTGGTAACCAAATAGAAATTATAAAAGCCGAAAAACTTATTGTGCGCTTCTAAATATTTGTACTCTTGAGTATTTTTAGGTAAAAACGTTGAAAGCCTTACATCGAATTCTAATTTCAGTCCGTTGAACATACAGAAAATGATCAGCACCGCGTACGTCAAGCACATCAGTACTTTCATAAAGGGTCTGAAGAGGACAGTCGTTAAATATCGCGTTACACACCATGCTACAAATCCGCCTTTCTTCTTCTGGCATACTTGTTCTGCAGTTAACAGATTACTGCCATGCTCCTGAAAATAACGAAATTCACATAGTTAAAACAAAATGTAGATGTAGGAACGATGTAGGAAGACGGGAAGGTATACAAAGGGCTAAAAATTTAAGTAGAATCTACCAAAAACTCACCACATCAGGATTGTTGTTAACATTGCTCGCGTGCTTGTTGTTGTTGTTGTTATTAGGCACTTTGGGCCTGGATTCCGATCTGAAGCAAGGGACGCCAGCTTCCTTGCATCTCTGTTGCAACGACAAAAACGCCGGGAAAATCACCATGAGCGCGACGCCGTGGAAAACGATCATGATAGCGCACTGCAAGCAAAACACTCGTAACGCGGGTATCGGCAAAATGGCAGCCGCCACGAACGCGCCCGAATTGATAAACGCCGCCGAAATAATACTAGGTCCTGTCCGCTGTAACACTTCGGCCGGTAAGAGTTTTCGCGTGCTAGTCGATAGAATGAGGAACATTTCTCTCATTGCGAGTCCTACTGTTATAAAAGGTAACACATGAGTACTTAATAGGTTCATGGGGAGGCCTATGAGGCTGCACACCCCGAGAGCAGCTGCTGTGGAACTTGCTAAGACTAGAACACCTGCAACGAGAAAATTACAATTGTGAGTAAGAGGATGGCGATGCGGGAAAATGTTACGCACCTAAAGCGGCAATGGCTGAATGAGTTACCCAACCGTAGAGGCAGGCTATGCCCAAGACAATGCCGATTTTCACGACATCAGTACGGGAATACTCCATCAGAAGCTTGTTAGCGTTGGCTGTTGAAAACGTGAAGAAAACGTAAGATGACGAAGGGCCGTTTTTCGATAATCGTTCTACTTCCTATACAAACAAAACAAACAAAATCACTCATAGAATTAACGATTAGACAAAATCAACGTACCTCAGCAAACTTCTTCTGCCAAGCATTTAGGACAACAGTTGCTTTATCTTTGCTCCAGCTAATGTGATGAACTTTGTAATTATCGGATAATAATTCGTACAATTCGTGTTCATTCATGAGCTGCACCACCGTCTGCAAAGCCTTCGCTTTTTTAATATGACCAGTCTTGTTCTTCTGAATCCCGCCGACTATGAGGTCTTCGGGCCAGTGCATGTATTTCGTAGCAAAGCCGTAGCAACCGCTGGTTATCTCGGCTCCAATGTCCGGATGGTGCGTGTGATTTTTATTAGGCGCCGTATCCGGACAATCAGGATCTCGAGGATTGAGGCAAGGTTTTTCTAGATATCCTGTTGTGATTCCCGCGCGCTTGAAGTAATCTTCGACTTTGCTAAAGTCATACTGGGCTGTCCTTTGCTTGAACTGAGATATCATCCCCATGGGGTGCAAATTCGTCCATTTAATTTGACTACCAATGCCCCTAAGATTTAAAAATGCAAAACGTTAATTTACAATATACCATAGATCAGATGTCTTAGTACAATAATAATTGTGTTGGAACCCACGCGCTCTAACCTAAGTTTATTTAAAGTAGTTTAATTTTAACAAATTTGTTTAATTAACATACTGAACAATGGACATGTTTGAAAACAAAGGCAGGCACAAATATATTAAGTAATAGATGAGTAAATAAAATATTGCAACTTGTAAATATTGACAGACCTTTCGACAAAATATCATAGAGGATGTATTAAATTATTTTATGCCGCACAAGTTGAATATTAATCTCGTACAATTTAGATGTAACAACAAATCGTTAGGAAATGATAATGGCTAGAGAGAAAGTGACAATTGCAGGAAATTTAATTTTATAGTGATGCCGTTATTATGTGCAAAAATTTACAGCTACTGAATGGAAACAGTTGTAATTAACGACTGACGATAAGTATAGTGTCATGCTTCAAATTGTCAATAAAGTTTGTAAATTTCAGTAGACCGCAAACCAGAATGGTATTAAATATGCAAATTTTTATAGTCCCTCGCAATCACGCAGACCACACAGTTATTTGCAATAAAAATCAATTGTTAACGCCGGTGTGCACAATTTTAAGAATACAGATTGAATATTTATAAGGTTTTATGTCTATTACGTTTTCATGTCCTAGGAGAATAAGTACCTACTCTATTAGATGCAAAATGTTTACCATTATAAAGCCAATGCCTGCAATCGCAAGAAATCCAATAAAAAAAAAACATTTAAAGCACGAATCTAATGTATTATCCTCCCCGTATACTCGAGGTAAAAACTTGCATTTCGTCAAATAGAGATGAACATTTCAAGTAAAAGTCCATTTCGTGATGCAAATCGATAAGTTGTCCGATTCCTATGACCGATAATTAATTATCAATTCTTGACGTTCCTCTAAATCGGAATAATTTGCGTCTGATTAAAGAAACATTACAAACTACTTCGCTAGCATCTCAATGGAACACTTCCAATCTTGTTGCAAGTTTTTTTAAATACTTCCTCAACCTCGTTTACATACGAAATGAATAAATTATTCGAGACTGATTCAGTACGTTTAAATGTAGATGATCTCTAAGCAAATGCTAGTCAGATGAAGTGCAGTGACAACAAATACTATTATTAAATTTACTTGCAGATAAATGTAAGATAATTAGGAAAAATTTCAAATTTTTTCATCATGTTTAACGATTACTTCGTAATAGTAATTTTTATTACACTTTTACGATTAGTGCCTGTGTTGTATTGTCTTATTGTTCGTTCTGAAAATAATAAATATTAGGCAATATTTCAATCTGCGGTCGCTTTACAAAGCGGTATAGTAAAATATAGGACACTCCTAACCCTAAGGCGATGTAAAAGAATGCCTTTATTAGGCAAATATAGGGTGTTCGCACACCTGTCATGTCACAAAGGTCTAGCGAGGAATTTCTATCTCAGTTATCTCTCCTCTCGAACAAAATTCTTTCCACCGCTGGTGATGTCTTATTTACACTTTTTTGTAGGACAAAACAGCTTTCTAGGTAGGTAGGCTTAGGTTCCGTTGGTAGTTGGCGAAGAATCTTCTAATATTTGAGTAAATGATTTTGAAAACTTACGGTATATAAACAGGATGATCGGGACCGTGAAGTTTCGCCCCCTCCCAAAAGCAATCCAACGGCGTTACGATGGAACAAGGAATCGTTTTTTCGAATATTTGATTCATGTAGTGCGGATCGAAATTCGGATAAGGAGGCGACTGGCAGAAGTCCTTCAGGGTCCACGTGATGTCGAACTTGGTGACAGTAACTTGCGAGGCTTTTTGCACAAGAGCCAAATGCTCAAGGAGGCCATGTGGATTCAAAAGGTCCACATCTGAATCCGAGCCTGTAAGAAATTTATTTACTATAACCTCATTAGAAAAAAAATTGAGAACTATGACTTACCAGTCTGGAGGACCATTTGATAATTGGGGAGCATCTCCGATGAGGTTTCGGATGTAACTGAAGGCTCGGCCCAAAGCAGCTCGATGTCCGAATGAAATGTCTTGCTCTTTAGTCCTACTGAAAATGTAGCTATTGCCAGTATGCTCACGAAGAGGACTTTCCCGGCATGAGCGTCCAAAATTTTCCCCAATACACGCAACTGCTTTTGAATGCGTCCTCGCACCCACAAAATACCACGATCTCCTTGTGCTTTCCCCTGAAATAACATAAATTCCACATAAATAATTTATTCTCATTTTTTTAATTATTAATCAAATGCATTTTATTAACTGCAGCCAATGATTTCAGTTTCAGTTGCAAGAATGTAACAAAACATAAACACGCTTATAAATACATCGTTAACATTTAAAATTAACTGGTGTCGGCATACGGGAAATTAATTATTGAGATGTCACATTTGGGTTTAAAACTTTCTAATCCGTCCTGGTACGGTTGTAGTTCTTGCTTTAATGACAAATCCGCGTTGCCAAAGTGCACCGGCGAAATAATTGCAATGTTTATGACGAAAACCAAAGCAAAAATGAAGACATTTATCTGTTTAGATGCAATAAATTATTAATGTGCAGCTAAGCAGAAAAAAACTAGAAACGGGTTTTATGCTTATGCAGGCAATAAAAATACGCCAAAAAGTCCACCTATATGTTAACGCAACTAAATAGAAAAATTAAAAGAAATAATTGGAGATAAACGAGGGATTGGCAAAATCAACAAATTTAATATTAAGATTTTTTTAATTTTAATGGATTAGAATAGTTTACATTCTAATAGAATCACCGAAGAATCCAAATCCCCAAGAAATGAGTTTTAAATCTAATTAAAAAAAAATATAAAAAATAATTATCCACCTACCCACTCTACTTTATAGTAGATCAACATTTCTATAAAAATATTATATAATACCGAATAAAATTTAAAAAACCACCATGTACCCAATTTGCAAGAACATGTAAGCTTATTAAAATTTCATTGAAATAACTTATATATTCTCGAAGTAAGATAGAGTTATTAAATTCAAAACCGAACGATAACTCAAAGGCTTAATTTGAATACACCCAAGTCCGCAGCCTTATTTAGTTGAAAGCACCAGATCACCGGTCAACGTGTCAAACGTGACAACAACGCATAGCATAACATGGTATATGGACCACCCAAGCTGTGGCCTGACGTCACGAGACCACCCAAGAATATGCGGATACCGCGTACTCCGTACTCCTTGGTCTTAACATAGAGATGGAAACTACCGTCATAGTCGTTATTTTACAACGTTAATTAGCCTTATTTGTTCGTACTGTATTTATCTGATACGTTTAATGTGATGCTTGAATTATGGTGACTAAAAGCTATTATTTTTAACGCTAGCATTTTTTTAAATAAAATGTAGTCCGTACTTTATGGAAAATTATACATTAAGACCGATTACTAAGCAATATATTAGGTATAAGAAGTTAGGCATTATGGTTACGGTTTAAAAAACTTAAAAACCTCCTACGACCTGTAGAACATTTAATTTTCTTGCTTTCCGGCAATTTTTCATTAAATTATATTTTTAATTCAGCATATATTCACTTCATTATTCAGTACAATAACCTATTCAAGAAGATTTATTACTAAAAATTTAACTGATAACGAAATAAATTAATAACGTACAATTAACGTGAATTACTATTTGAACCTTTACAATAGTGCCATTTGCTGTAGAAATCATGAATCAATTAATTATCCAGTCGGAATTCCAATTATACATTACAATGTCATATAATATTGCACTCGGGTAAAGGCTAACTCTTAAGTGCCATTTTATGTAAGTCGTCATTTTAAGTCACAAGTACCTAATTCATAACAAGCACGATACTTTCAAAGGGTGAATTGTATTGATTTTAAATCAATCAAGCTCTTAATACAGTCAAAAATTGTTATTTTGGACATGGACTATTTTAAATCAAATTGTTTTTGCTAAGTTTTCTAACTAAAAAAAATCGAGTCATGTCTCTCAAATTTCATAGAAAACACAATTATTCATTCAATGTTTAACTATCGGCAACCTATTGATCAGTTACTCGATACCTATTAAATAGCCGTATTCACCTCTATATCGTATTAAGCTGTCCATGCCTCATACTGGGCCATCCTTCGCAGAAGGACCGACTATGGGTTAACTTGGGAGTCCAAATAAAAAGGGAACTGTGGTAGCCCTTCAGATTATTTTTTTTTTCAAAGAATGTAATGTAGGATAGCAAGATTAACAAAGACGTTCGGTACAGATGTTAGTGACCCCAATGTTTAAATATAAATGACGAGGGTAAAAAATGGGGTGCCATTTTTGCCGGAAACTTTGGAATGAATTGGCTTTACCATTGAATGGTTAACATAGAGGACATTTCTAAAAAAGGTAAATGATTGTAATATAAGACTGGTTGATTTTATGAAATTGAACGATCCTCTCTCGCATAAGGTAAGGTTTCAATTTAACAACCAAAAGTCAATAAATCGAAATAAAAAAAAAACTACATAGTCATAAAATTTGTGCACGTGGGACGAATAAATGAGCAGGTATGTGCAAAAACATCGGATTTATTCAAAATTTAGATAGAAACATAGGCTTGTTATACTCCTACGTCGTAATCTAAAGACCAATATCATTGAATTTTAAATTCTTACACAGCGACGTTATTTTCTTTTCTTTTATTAGATCCAGCGAAACGGCGTATGTGTAGAGGAACATTACGTAAAATAAAAATAACTGTGAAAAGAAAGTGACGGAACATAGTCATTACCATTTTCATGAATACTCTTTTGTACCATTACATTCGCTATTCGAGTTCTACGTCTCCTTTATTGGTAAATATGTTATAAAAAATAATAAACACACACATGTATCTACAAAAAACCTATTGCATAGCTTAATTTACGACAATTTAGAAAACTAGTCTTAAGAAGTAAAATCAAATAACAAATAGATTGGAATTAACTTTCCTCGTTCTACGGAGCTAGTTTTCTTTCTTTTTTGTTAACAACTTCTTCGATAAAATGCAATTAACTTTTTCCAACGCGAATTGCTTAATTTAGCTGATTTATAACAGCATTCTTGATTCTCGTTCAACAAAGAAAAAACTTTATTAGTCGTGTGGATAATGTAGGTCATGGTCTTTGTCATGATCGAGGCCAAAACTCCTGATTTTGTAAAAAAGATTTAATGATACAACATTATAGATAATGTTAATAGCCCGGGTATTTTGGTAAATCTACTAATTGGAAACATTTTGGTGCATTCTAGAGTGCATTAAACTGTACCTACATATAAGGTGTCTACCTAGAGTTCAAATTCGTCTCTAATTATATCATCATTCAATCTAGAATATTGTCATTTCGTAATAAAAAGATATTTAGACTCTATTAATTAGTTGGAGATGGGGAACTGTTAGGAATAGTTTCGTACTTAATTAAGTAATTTGCTTGTACTTTTAACATTCGATTGATAAGGAAAACATCTTTTAATGAACTAATGCATGCTAAGAATAATGTTCGGTTTTTTATCTAAGTTATCGCTGTTGTAAAACAACATCATAAATATTATATTTTCGTTGTAAACTTGTCACGGGCAATATTATTTTGTAAACATTTAAGCAAATTTAGATAATTATACCGACGATTTAATTGAACTTACATGTTATTGATTCGAACAGAAGAAATAAACCGAACGATGGAATTTGCGGCCCAAAGTACTGGATTTTTTTCTTCTAAGAACAGTAACCGTCGAAAACGAATTTCCAACCAAACGGAATAAAGTTTTTTTTTTATTTCTGGCCCAGTCTTGCAATGGAACATTTAAAACGTGAGGCTGAACAAAACATTTTGCATGTTTATAGAACTGTACAAATTTTAATTTCATTATTGTATATATTTCTGTATTTATGTACATGGGCTGTCAACTATATTTTAAGACAATATACTTGCATATATAAACAAATTGTTAATATAGTTACGCATTTATGTAATATGGTAGATCACAAGTAAATATTGAAAAAAAAAATAAATTAATTTACAACTTGTTTGTCAAAAAAGAATAACAAATGAAATACATAATAAATTGGAAAATTTCTAAAAATGCAATTCAAGTTGAGTCGATAAAAAGGAAATTTCTTCGGAAAAAGTATGTATTTTGAATGTATTTTGAATCAAAAGTATCCATTTTGATCTCCTATCTTCTAGGAGTTGTGTACACTATTACTGGTCATTTAATTATGATTAAATCTTAATTATATTTGTATTGTAAAATCTTTCAAATTCAACATAATTGAGTAATAAATAGGCCTGTTTGAACATCCTCTATCTGTTACAAAATCTTGCCTTTTTATCATCAAAATGATGCCATGCCACTTTCTAGAAAGGTATGTTTGCTAAATTGCTTAGTTCTCCCTATGCTGTATTTGACCTTGAGAGGGATTTTAAGGGTGAATTTGCCACCCTTTTTCGTTTAACCGCCTGTACCGCTCAGATACAATTGATCACAAAATGAAAACTGCAGTTACGTGATGCGTTTAGTAATTGACGCTAGGTTCTGATTTTTTTTTCATTTGAAAGTGCACAGAGATCATAAGTACCTCGACATCCGGTTGCTTGAAGAGAATCAAAGTATCATATAAGAACATAAAAAGTTTTACGGCACACATCGATATGTTCAATGTTCATGTTAAAATTTTATGTATGCTCATATTTTATAAGCACAGTTATAACAGCTATTAATATTAACTGTTAAGTACTAACTAAACTTCTTGTTTAACATACAAGTGAATTAAAAGTTTTCAATGCAATACAGCCGGAATTTGTCTCGCAAACGATGAAGACATTAAATCAGCTGTCCTTTTTACGACGTCTATAGAAATCTGAACGTTTTCACTAGCCCCTTATGGGGAGAAGAAAACATCGATGCAACGTGACTTTGCATCGCTTTTTCTACCAACGAATTTGAGCCGGCATTGCCGAATATACGAACAGCGCCGTTTTTTTTAAGTATCAGAATGAGTCGCCATAAAATTTGTACCAAGCCACAGAAACTTGGTTCCGAATGTGGCCAAAACGACTCCCCAACAACGTCTCTAATTTTATCGAAAAATTCTTCAATTCCTGTAAAATCGATATCGCGCGGCAACATTGTCATGCATCGGCGATTGAGACATCAGGGGTAGAACTTTCGGTTCCGGAAGTACAAGGAGACCGATTGGGTAGGGGCAGGAGTATAGTACAGTCTTGCAGCGCTAGGCACTGTTGCCAAACCTTCAGAAAATCCAAACGTCTTTAGACATTCCGGATTTGTTCTACCACAAAAAGCCCCCAAATTAAAATCAATTAAATTTATAATTGATACTATTTTTTAAAATGTATTTCAAGTAACAAGCGGTGGATAATAACTATCAATAAACACTAAGTTAAATATAGCATCTTCGATTAAAATAAACTACAATCATTCGGCATGTGTGTAATAATTTTTTCAAAACCGTACACGCACTTTTCGTAATGATTGTAAATTTCGTGGATCATTAGTTTGGCAACATCGGTGCTAGGGGCTCACGGGTGGAGTAAGGGGACAGGTAACTTTAGCCGCTAAGCTAGCCGAAGACCACACACGATTCTTTCCCGGTGGTCTCACCAAGGCTAACGTAATACCGGCGCATCGTATCGCCCACAGACCGAATATCAGGTCTGGCTCCAAATCATCTATCACACCTGATTAAGAGCCCACAGGCTGTTTTTGCCAATTCCTAACAAGTTAGCCTGTCGGTACTCGGTCACTCGTTGTAATCAATTTATTAATTAATTTACTTCAAACAACCGGAGGAATTTATCTGTAACCGGTAATTAGCTGTTTGGTCGGGTTTATATGGCTAAAATGGGGTTCGAATTTTCCCCAAAATTTTATTACCGGATACGTAAATGTAAGTTTAGTTTAATGATAATCAAATAGTCATTTCAAAGACGCTTATGAAGTTATGAATTGTTTCCTAGAGATGTGCTAATGGAGGTGTACTAAAGAACTCCTCATAAAGCTATACTTAATTTAAAATGTTTGATTTCTACAAGAACTCGTGCAAATCTAATTAATACGAGCGAATCGATTCAAATTTGGTATTGGAAATCAAAATTTGCTCCTTATTTGGAAGCGTTCTTTAAACTAACGAGTGCCATTCGAAGAAAACCTCAAGCACCTACCAGAATGCGTCAATTACTTAATAAACCCATGTTTCAGCTAATTTAAATTGCCTGCATGTACTCCTAAGCAAGCGAATTAAATACATTTTCCGTAAAAATTGAACACATTATGTGAATACTGAACAGCTGATGAATAAGGATTTGTGCGAAAGTAATTTCAAGCATGTTAAGAACCAGGTATTTTAATGATCTCAAAAGATGAATTATTTAAAAGCAATTTGTGCTAATAACTAGAATACCCATGTGCATTTTGTATGTTTCTGTAATGATAGAAATGAATGGTTTTTTAATACACATCGAGTGCTCAACGATTTCTTCATTCATTGAACGGTTTTAGAGCATCTTGACTTTAAAACATAGTAGGTAAATGATCAGTAGAGTATGTAAGTAAGTAATATTGTTTGGAATTTGTGCTAATACATGTACATTGTTAAGATGAGCATACGTTACCTGGTCTAGTTGAACTAGGGCAATATCTGCGTCGACCCAGCCGGGTCTGATGTAAAGATCTGACTCGTGCCTCTCTGTAGACTCCGTCGTCGAGTCCGATGGCGCCATGGAGGCCATCCTCGACGGACATACGGTTCCAGCACGGATAGCACTCAGGCCCAATCATCGGCGAACCTTGCACTGCACATCTGAACCCTCTGGAGCCACGATCCACTGGCACTAATTGCTGCCCATGTGACAGGACTCCGGCACGGGGAGACCACAACAGTTCCGTTGCCTCAACATGCTTTCGAAAGTAAACAATTCGTACGGACGGCGAGGAACGATCGGATTGGTTCGCATCTGTCTCGCACACTGAAGTGAACACAGAGTTCTCTGTTCAGTTGTATGTGGTTGCTTTGATTGTAATTCCCGGCCCAGGCGAGGTGGGTCGACAGTGGCCGAGGCCGGACCACCCACGTTTCTGTTTAGAATGTAAATTCTCCAAATCTTATTACTTATGTTTTTTGTCACCATCCCGCTTTATGTCTTCACAATCTTCACAATAGATTTCTGATAAACCCATTTTTTTTTCTCGTCCCCTTTTCCCTTTTCCTCGTGGTTCTTTTAGTGCTCCGTTTTCTTCTCTTGCAGCTTGCAACGCGCCGCGAATTTCTACTTGGGATGTTTCTTATTTTCACTTAAAGAACTTACTTTTTATTAAATTTAACTCATAATCAACAAAATTATTGAAATTCAACGAAGAATAATCTGTAATATACCTATTTAAAAATCTTTAAATAAAATAATTTCCCCTTATAAAAATATCAGAGTTCAAATATCTTTATTCCTCTAAGCAATTCATTCATATTTTATCAGTGTGTTGTATACTATACGATATTATTGATTAGCAATTTGATTTATCTGCAGCTCCTGAAAACTCCTGAAATTTGATACTGAAGTATAGGCAACCGACACTATTCAGTTGATACTATTCTTCAATACTCTTCCTCTAGTATAGGCAACCAGTTCATCTTGTGACATCCAAATATTGGATATGGATAAAAATGGAGAATACCTACTTCTATAAATATAGTTTAGATAACTTCAACACTTCCTATAAAAATATAACGATGCAAAAGAGCATACTAATTAAAATTTCAAAACAAATCATCGCTTATGAAGCTCAATGTAAATACTTTGCAAGAGTGTATGGAGTAGCTTATACGAAAATTTCACAATCTTGTATGAAATCTGTTCGAATAAAAATTCCATTTGCAATTTCTAATAAAATCCAGCGATCTCATTAAAATATATCAGTGCATTCATTACGAATACGTGCCGAAGCGACGTAAACGTTTCCGACATGACAAAAAATCCCGAGGCATTACTGGCATGCTTATGGTCTTAAATCACCTCCCGAAAACTCGGAAAAGTTATCACTTGCCTTACTTAATGGATGGCGTTCCAGAAAGTTTGTCAAAAAATTCGCAGATGCTTCCAGTGCTCGTGCCAAAGAGAAGGAAAGGCTGGAGTTAAAATCATCTCGGCCTCACATCTTACATTTGAATATTCTGACTTTGCCAACGAGCCAGGAACGTACACCGGATGGGGTCGTGATTCAACAAACCGAAGCATTTTTTAGTTTGAAATTTTATTACGTGGCGAATTTATGCTTTACCCGAATTGCTTTGGGTTTAAAATTGGTTTAAAATTGTAGATTTCAGGAATAATGAACGTTAAAAAGTAGATATTTTTTCCGTAATATTCGCCAATAATTTGTTAAAAAATTTGGTGGATTTTTATGTTATTACGGCACTGTATGTGAATGGTATTTGCAAAATATTATTCTTCCTAAAATTCACTAACGTGCATGTTTTATCGATTTGGGTCAACTTATTTGGATATTCAAATTGATTCTGTAAAATGCAATCAAAACGATCGTAGGTAATTTTATCACATGGTAGGTAGTAAAAATCTACAAATGCGAATAGATATCTAAAAAATATATTTACTTGTGCCTACGCATTGATTTCTATTATTTGACTCTTCCCTGCCTATACACTCTACAAAAGTTCCCCGTCGGATATTTGTGCCAGTATGAGCGTTTATGAACACGGCTCAAAATGTATTATTTACTGTAACAAATTGTTTAATTACAATCAATAGATACTCAGATTTTTTGTTCTCTTGATTTTTCCATTTTATTTCAAAAGATTACCTTATTACAAACACCTTTTGTAATTCAACCACATGAGAGCAATTTGGGTAACATAATAAATGAATAATACAAAACTGAGGATGGAGGATTCGTTAGAGCGCAAAAGATTTACCAAATGTATATTTTAGAAACACTCATAGAATGTAGTAAAATGACAATTTCAAAACCGTAAGTTTGTCTATTCCTATACATTTACTCTATTCATCGGTACTTACGATAATGAAATTTAATCAGAATAAAGATAAGCATTAAGTTTGTAAATTTTCTTACTATACTATACTACTACTATACTATTATTTCACTAAGTAAATTCTATTTAGTATATGTGTTAAATAGACAACTTGGAAATTCTAATAAACTTCCAATTTCAGGAACTATAATTTTAGCCAGAAAATTTTTTATTGTATTTAATGAAAGTTTGAGTACGTTTTCTTGACATTCGTTCACCAATTTGAGCTGATTCCGTTCAAGTGTCAAGTACATAACTACAAGCTAGTACAACAACAATGTGATTGTATGTACGAGGTGTTGCTGGTGACTGACTGTAGGAATGATGTGTTGGTGTTGGATGGGGGTTGACATAGGCAGAGGCAAGGGCAGGATGTCAGAGGAGTTAAGATAGGCCGCGACGCCGTGGCACGCCTCTGAAAGGTAGAGATGGAGGTGAGACAAGAGACAAGGGGACCCGGGAGAGTGAAATGGGCTCTAGCGCGCGCATTCCTGGCCCCTATCGATCATCCAGCTCCGTCTCTGCATCAGCATCAGGATTTGGGATCGGGATGGAGAGGAGTAGTGCAATGGCAATGCTCAGTTAGTAGTAGAGGCTTGCCTGCCGTAGGCGTGTTCAGAAACGTACGCGGCTCGGTCGTCTACCGCACCAGTCCTTAGCACCTCCTGGGGCATGACTGCCAAGTCTGGAGGCACATTCATCATTGAGCCATGATCATTCATCCACAGTAGGATGGTGAGGAACGAACGAATGAGACCGACTGTGGTGGTTGTCTTTCTGATTGTCATCATGTTGCCAGGTAAACATCAACAATTTATTCATTCACATTTCGCGACTTTTCGCCGTTTTCATTTTGGACTTTGAAATTTTTTTCGATTTTAAGTTGGACTTAAACTTTTTTCTGCTTTTAAATTAAACTTGAAATTTTTTTAATTTTAATTTGGACTTAGTTTTTTTTTAGTTTGACACTTTATTTTTATTGAGGCAATGTCTACTAGAAAATCCAATCTTAATGGTTTCATAGCTCTATTTTATCTTGACTTTGAAAGGTGTTTACTTGAAGTTTTTTTTTTGTATAAATGTAAAATTGTTGCAACTTTTTTTAAACAATAATGAAACTTATAAAGATATATTTAAATTTTTAATTTGTTTTATAAATGCTTTGTGTACATTGTCATGGAATATTTTAACGGCACCCCTTCTTTGTTGACTTTAGTCGAATTTGCATTCACCTCTCAATTTTGTGCTCTTTACTGTGAGAACCCATAAATAATTTACCTTTAACTTTTTGTCTTTTCTGAAATTTATTAAATTTGATTGGCTTCTTTAGGCACTATGCAAAAGGCTTTAAGTAGTTTTTAGCTGGGAAATTTAGTTTTATTTGACTTTTAAGTGTTGGATTTTAATGATCTTAGCGGGTTCTCTAATTAATTATTTTAATTAAATTGAAGTTCTTTTAAAGTAATATTCGTCTTTAAATGCACTTTAAAGGGCTTCCTCCGGTAGTATTCAAAAAGATGTATTCAATTAAATAATTTTAAAATTGCTACGCTTACAGTTTGTGTCAAACATTTAATATTAAACATTCCCATCATTATAAAAATTAAATTACCTAGGTATTTCTATTTTACTCTGTGATGTATTATTAAAATTTGTGAATGCAGAAATTTCTTTCTAAAAATTCGTAATAATTGTCTAACTAGAAGGAATCTGAGATTTATTACATTTCTCGGTTTGGCTGTCCAATAGTGGTTTATCAAAGGATAAAAATATTTAATAACAAACCTTATATGCCTAAATGGAATTACATCAACCCAGTTTAATATTTTCAACATTACCTGCCAACCACGTGAGCTTGAAATGGAAAATGAATTTTTAAATTACCCGCAGGCACTAACACAGTACACAGTCACTATGATAGAGTTAAATTCCATAATAGTTTCATTTTTTCAAACAAAGTGTTCATTAATAATCGTTGAAAATATTGTAAAATCAAATATAAAATTTCTGTTTTTTTATGAAAGCATATTTTTAAATCGAAAAATCAATGTGCCTTTGATGTTTAAATAACAATGGTATTGAATGTTATCATAAGAATTGATTGTAACATTTTACGTAATGAAATACTGTTGCAGCTATACAGAGAGAAAAAAACTTCAGGTCAATTGTATATGTTTGATTGTTGCCCTTCGCAGGGTACATTTTTACGTATTTCCTCTCTTTCATTATTTACTTTCGATCAATTTTTCTTCCTATCAAGTTACTGTAAGGTAAAGTGGAAAGCATTTTTTCGTCCGTTTAACCTATATATCTCGAACAGTTTTATTTGTATTCAATCAATTTTTAAGTATCTAGGTAGTCCATTTCATCTTATCCCAGTTTGAGTTGAAAATTTCTTCCTCTTTTGACGATTGGTATCTTTCCTAGCCGATTGAATGAAATGACCGTAAAAAAATCAATTGTCCATTCGACTTAATTTTGTTAGATAATAATTAATCAGTTGCTTCTCATTTATTATTTGTGCTACTGTTCTATATTAACATCCCCTACCTCTGCTCCTTTAGATTTTCGTATCATTTTCTATTAGCATATCTGTACTTTGAGAAGTAGGTACAATGTTCTGCCTTAATTTGTATAATCTAACCCTGGGGCTGTTATGGTATATGTGGGTTTAAACAATGTAAATTAGTATGTAGAAATTAATTACGAAACAGTTCAGTATATATAATATTGAAGAAACAATTGGATTTTCATCAAAGTACCTACTTAATCGAAATACTGACGAAAATTTTCCACCTTCTCTGTTGAATGTACATATTAGACTAGGTCACACACGTGTATTAAAACTATAAGACCCGGCATAAAATTAATTTTGGTATGGAAATTTCAGAGTATTTTTTTTCGAAATTTCTGCCGAGTTGTTTAATTTGTATGGTTTCTAATAAATTTGTTCAAACGAAAATTTGGACCAACGTACTCTAATTATCTTCATTAAATTTTTCAAGAAGCCAGCACATTTGAATTAATTAGTAGCTTTTGACTTACAACGAACCTATTTGTTAAAAATGTTTTGATTGACTCAAGTTTTCCCAAATGAAAATTTCAAATACCATTGTGTTTTTAATTTATTTCAAGACAAAAGCGCCCTTTGTCCGAATCTCTTTTAGTACGAAAATACAATTAAAAATTATAAATAGAACCAGGAAAACGACGAAAAGACAAAACTGTCTCAATTACCCATATTACAATTCAGCTGAGAATGAACTAAGTTTCTTTTTATAAAGACATTATCTAGAGAGTTAATAATACTGTTTAAATACATAACTTGTTTGCATAGTTAAATGGATTTTGATTTATCTTTCATTTGGAACAGTATTTATTTTATGAACATTATATTGCGAGTCTGACTAACTTTAACTGTATGTTTAGCGAAAATCAACTTTTTTAAAAATAAATTTCACAGTTTCGGACTTGCACCTTTATTTGAAAAGCCGTTAAAGATATGGAAACGACCAAACCGTCATTTGAAAACGAGTAAAATTTTTTATGGCCCTCTATAGTTTGCAATTTTTTGCTCAATTTTTACGATTGAGCCTACAATATTATATTTTTTATGAGGGTATTTGTTAAAAAATCCTATTTAAATTTGTTTGAATGCCGCTTTCTCTTCGGGGGATTGTACTTCTCTAAAATTTACTCAAATATGTATGTATGTAATAAAACTTATCGGCCGTCTAAACATGGAAGTAATAAAAATTCTCTCAAATCAAGTACCGTAAAATCGAGATGGAAAAAATTAGATATTCCTACAAAATTTAATATTCCAAATTCTATTACCTACTCGAAGAAGAAATTCGGATATATCGAAGAGAAGCAAATAAATAAAAATGTCAACAAGTTTATTTTGTTCTCCATATATGTGACTTTACTGCAAATATTCTGTTCTTATAGCCTCAAGTAAGTAGCTTTGAAGGCCATAAACAGCTTTACCAATAAATGTAAATTTTGTGCTTCGAATTCGCTAAATTCGTTTATTCGAAGGTACACATCAAGACTTTCGGATACTTCACATAGAAAGTTTTGATATTTACCGTAATTCTAAAAGTAGTGTTACAATGTAATTTAATTTAAACTCTTTAAATATTCAATGCGAAGTGATATTGTTCTGTTCAAATGATAAAGCATACACGTCCAAGACACAATGACTAGGTCATAACTTGTATTAAAACAAACACTCGCATCTTGCTATTACCTTAATAGCTCCCCTAGTGTTCAAACTATTCCCTGCAACCCCCTACTGTATAAGGTTTATCCTTGATACTAATTACAATTTTAATAATACAAGATGGTTTACTGACAGTAAAATGAATTATAAAATGATATATCATTTTTTTCTCCAAAAAACGTCCAACATACGAATAACGTTGAATAAAATCATCATATTATTTTCATAAGTTGTGGACTATTCTGCAAAATTTGAATTTGGAATTGCCTGGAAGAGACCCTTTTAGCTCATTGTAAATAAATTTCATGGGCGTATTTTAATGTAGTCACGGAGTAAAAGAGCAACAAGTACAAAATACAAAATGTAGGTTAATGCAAGCATACAGACATGTATAATTTGATAGTTTTTCAATTTTAGCCGCAAAACTTGACAGTGTTGGGAAAATATAATTTAGACGTAAATTATTCATGTCTCATGTCGCAAAATGTATTTTGACGAGGTTTTATGAATCTAATAATAAATATTTTAATTAACATCGATACAATTGTTGTGTAAGTATTCTTCAAATTAATACCGAAATGACCTCCTATATTCAACGAACTGGTTCGCAACCCAAAAATACTCCTGGTATAGGCGTAGACGAATTGTTCCAGATATTGATTTTAATTATCTGGAAGTATTGCATAGCAGAACGCTTCTTTCCACTCTAGTTTGCACTGGTGGTGCTGTTCAAATGAAAGATTTATCACACAATTCTATTAGGTTCTAATTTATGCATCGGGCTTTTGTGTCAACATTGTTTGAGGAAATTTTAAAACCATTACCAAGATTTTCATTTCGATGAAATTACACGTTAAAAGCAGGTAAAGCGTTTCGCAAATATCGGTGATTATAATTTTCATGAGATGTTTTAATTTGATTCCCTTTTCTGATTTATAATTTAGAACATTATTTTGGTAACCTTCTCAAGTTAGTCAGATATTACGTAAGTCTCTGTTCTGAGCTTGTTTTCCTTCATATTTTATCAACTTAAAACACCCTAATACCAACAAGAAAAACAGGATCCTTTATTATTGTTTTTTTGTCGTGCTTTCAAAATATTACTTTTCATTTTGAACAAAAATGGGTCGTACAAATAAGTATAAAAGCTAAATTAACTGTCGGGTTTATAAGAAGGCATTATGATTTAGACGTATATCTGTTGCTAGGTTTCCACGGTATTCGTAAAGGATTATTGCAAATTTTGCTTTGGTAAGTAAGGATGAACTTCCCTGGTTTCCGATGCAATTCGTTTAATTCGGGTAGATACTTATAAAATGTTTACTCCTCTTTTTTTATTACATTACATTATGGTGAACAAAATTTTATCGCAATATAAGGATGTGTATCTATCTACTTATTTTCGAGATTTTCCGAGACTTTTCTACTAGGTAAATGAGATTTTCTTCTCGAGAAATTCAATTTCCGCGTAGGAGTGCATGTAATTAATGGTAGGAATGAAATCAAGAATTTTCTGTATTTTCTAAGAATAGACTTCGATTATAGATACAAAAATCTGCCCTATCGGTTTTCCAATATCACGCCGGTGAACTATAATTTCGAAACAAATAGTGTCAAATTCAAATCCATAATCATGGAAGTTTGATTTGTCTTATGTAACACAAATATCATTCGGTTTACGAAATGGAAAACGTCCTACGCCGTGCCGTAGGCTATGGAAAATCTTGAAATAATTCCATGTAGATGTTTCATGTTTAATTGAATTTTTTTAGGGAAACAACAACATCAAATTCGCATTTATGTATAAATATTTGTCTCTTTTAACATTTTTTATGCACTCGATAGAATTCTAATTAAATCAGTAACGAATAAATATTAAAATTAAACCAATAAATAGTAAAAGAGTAATTTTTGATAGGTTGGTTACGTTACAAAATGATTATGCCGTTGACATTTTATTAATCGACATTAGATTAGTTTGTGGTCAACTCACCATCAAGGATAATTGGATTTACTGTGTATTTGTGGGCAGCTTTTTGCGATTGTTTTCAGTGACGTCAACATCAGTGTTGGCATCTATTGTACCATTTTTTTTAATTTTTAACTATCAGCAACCGTAACTGCAGACACAAAAGCGTGGCAATAGTTAAAAGCACTCCTATCTAACAGTCTGCACTCCCTGTCGCTACAATATAGCCAATTTTGAGTGGTAATAAAACTAATGAAACTTAGATGTACACTTTAGTTTAGGTTTAGAGCTTTGTATTAAGAGCATTGATTAAATTATATTATGTAGCCTATTAAACCAAGTTGTACAAGTTGCCTAAAGTCTAAATTATAAAACATTTACAATCAGTCATTGGGTGTAATATTAGATGTTTGTTTCAATTTTTGGCGTACAAATTAGTTTCTTTTAGAAAGACCGCTGCCTGTAGGGATAACTTTATGTTATGCAAAGGGTAGTATTATCTAGGAACTTAGTGTTGACAAACAACACAAGAACTTTAATATTATTGCTGTTTAACGACGCAGACGTTCGCCGTAGTCATTTGGAGGGTTGAATTCGTAGTTACTGTGCTCTCTAGATGTTAGAGGGAAAGTTATTCATTAGACGAGAACGCGTAAGGGCGGTGTGTGTTATGGATTGTCCTTGTTTAGAGGCTTATTTTTAGGGAAACGCAGAAATGGAATGCTATTAGGAATCTTGCAAACTTGTAAATTTTTTGTAACAAAGGATTCCTCGCTTTTATGAATTAGTAGTTCGATGAAAATGAAAAGAAATGGACTTTTTTACTTCAAAAGAATTCCCGATAAAAAGAGCTGTGTATATTGCAAGTTTTTAATTAACTTTGTATACAAAATGAGTAATTTGTTCACGTGTAAATCTTAACGGGATTCCGATTTTTAAAACTTGAATGGATCTTTTGATCCCCTCTTTGAACGTTTGAATTGAGTTTCTCTGTAAAGGGTGGTGTTTCATTTGATTCGTTAAAATGGAATGTCCCAACGCATTTCTACAGCCAGTTCTATACACAATAATATTATATTATTTTACGCATAATACGGAATATTTGGATAGAAAGAAACTTTTTGTAAAACAAAGTTTATAGTATACGTTTTGTATTGCATGTGAATGAAAAATACCACCAGGAAAGCTCCAAATGTTGCGGTGTTAATGACAATAAACAGCAGGAAAATCGAAACGCAAACAATGCCAAATTGTTTTGAAACTCAATCTGATTGATGTTGTCTTGTTACAGGTTCGAAACAAGGTCCACATGAGAAACTACTGCTCAACAATTTGCTTGCGTCTTACAATGTCCTCGAGAGGCCCGTTGCCAACGAGTCTGAACCCTTGGAAGTTAAATTCGGCCTAACACTACAGCAAATTATCGATGTGGTCAGTACATCATTTATTTTTCTTATTAACAGTAACAATATTTATCCTGTCATATTTTAATTAACTCAACTCGACTCGCTAACATGCTATTTTTTTCGGAGTAAAGCGTATTTTGTCGAGTGGATTAAGTGGCGTGATAATTTGGTAAAGTATCTAAGGTGAGCTCGAGTCAATTTTTGGAATTATTTTCATGAAAAATTTACCTTGCCATTTTCACGACGGAAAATATCCCAAAAATATTCTTCAATTTTCTACAATGTTTGATTATGATTAGATATAATGCACGTAAAATTCCCTAAATCCATATTGCATACATACGTGTACGAGAAGCTGGAGATTTATTGGAAAAACATTTAGGGAAGAACGTCTATTTTATGGCATTCCCGGAGGTAAATCGAAAGTTAAATTTGTCGAGTAGTGAACTTTTATCGCTTTTGGATGTCTAATCTAGAGGAAATTCGCAAAAATAAATTTTTTATAATGCCCTTTCGAAGCCATCTCGATAGTTGCTATCTGACAGTTACGTGCACAGTGAAGAGGTTTTGCTAAAAAGGTTGATGTCAGTTGCCTAACATAAAAATCACTATTTCCTTTTTAATACATCCTGTGAAGGATACTTATAGGTTTCTTAGCAATAAATTTTTTTGCCTCCTATAACTATTTATCCTCAAGCTAAATTTATGTTACAATAAAAATTATCATTAATAATCTCCTAAGAAAATTAATATTTTTTTAGTATCTTCGAAAGTAATGTGCATGGTAATATGTTCATATGATAATATGGTAATTTATTTACCATAGCGATATATCAGTGTGTTGTCGATATTATTGGTCTATTTAGTAGAAAAAATTTACGTCATTTACGGCAAATCTAAAGAGCAACATTTTTGTCTGTGCGCTTGCATTAATTTATCGGAGTAAATAGTAAAATCGTTTACAGTCTATAAGGATTTTTCTAGTTACGCTGTGCTTGAATGCGATTAATTGCTTCATTCGCAACTGAAATTTTGATGACATTACGTGCTGCTGAATTAAATAGTTTTCGACCAAAATCGACACTCTGAATTCGTTAAACTAATGCTCGCCTGGATAATTTTACCCGACCGGCTACACTTCTAAATTAATTACTCATATAATTGAAAATTGCAGTTGGCTACAATTGTAGTGTTCCTAAATGTTTATTCATGTATTCGGCAGTTATCAGTTATTTAATATTTATGTTGCAGAAATTGCACCATTAACAAATTTGTCTCTCAAAAAAGGCGACTTACTGTATACAATATTTTTATCATAATTCCAAAATTTGACTCGACTGTGTGATTTACAAAAGTTTTTTTAATTGCATATTTAGGTATAAATTTACTTTATAATCGGATAATACAACTCCACGATTTTTGTCGGATATTTTTAAAAAAGGAATTTAATGGATGTGATTGCATTTCTAGTGTTTAAGATTCTATATTAATTGTACTTTTTTAATTTGTTTTAGTCATAATGAATCTCCCTAGTTAATTTGCTCATCTCGCGTTGAGCAATCCCGAAATTCGGTTCTTAAAATTTTAAACTTAATGGAGTTTCATATGACCAAACACAATTCCCATCGCAATTCATAGTTACTTCTCTGAACTAATCCCTTATAATATGTATCCCCTGGCAAGTTGATCCTCAAATTTGAACAAACGCGAAATGTTCCAGAATATTAATTTTCTGGAAGAGTATATATAAATTTCCTGTAGTTAATTTATTACTCATGTAATTTATAACTCTGTAAATTGATTTTTTAGAATGCAAAATTAATCCAGAAATTTGTGCAAATCTGAAATATTGAAGCGATCAATACCTACTCGTATTTGGGCGATCCATGAGTTCCTTTGTTCTTTTGATTCTAATGAATATAAATTCCAGTTTTTAGGTTTCATGAGAGTTCTTTGAGTTCCAATTTCTATTATTAAACTGTGATTAAAGTCATTAAAAAGTATTTCATATACCTATTTTAGTATATAATAGAATATTCTGAACATTTCGCATTCGCGCTTGTAGATGTATTTGCAGAAACTTCCCGGATCAAATGTAATATCTCAAATAAATTGGAAACTGAAAAATGATTGGCAGAAATAGCGAGCGCATCCATTAATACATTTTATTTCGTTTCAATACAAACCTCTAGCATTGATTAATTGTTTCTCCCATTGTTGTTTATTTTAATAGAAAGTTTTTCAGGTATTGTTGAGGTAGGTACGGATTATTGTTCGCTTCTGGCTATTAGTTCAATTAATCATGGTTATTTATACAAAATCGAATCTCATAATTGAGGCATTTTATATAATATTATCAATCGTGCGAAGTTTTAATCTAAAATAACATGATTAATTAAAATTTATTGAATTACAGCTATTATTACAGGTTATCGAGCTATATCGAAAATTTCGTGACTGAGCAAATTTAATAAAATAAAACAATCGACGCAATTTTTTTGAGAAAAACATAACATATTTAAAAAAAACATATTTTAAGTAAAAGAAATTAAAAATATCGAAATCGTCTACCTGTAAGATATTAAATCTAAAATATTCTTGTGGGGAATGGAAGCAGCCGCTGGGAAAGCTGCTTTAATAAATTTAGAGACGGTGTCAAAATGGAAAACAATGAAGGGAACTTATCGGAGGGAAAAATCGATTTCAGCCTAGCAAACTTTAAAGGAAATTTACCCAAATCTAATAAGCAAGTTAGTCTAAACTGAGTAACCTAATTAAATGGGAGTAAGGCACACAAAGAAAATAAAGTCATTGTCAGATGAACAAAGGTAAATATTGAGGTAAAACATATCTTTATGGTATTTTCGCTTCTATCGAAATTTATTATTATAGATTATGGTGTTTTCTATTCTTAAGAAAGTGAACATTCTGGTTTAAGAAGTTTCAGTATTTCTGCCATTGATTTAAATTTAGTATATCTAATTAGCTTGTTATTTGCCTAACGTTTTTCGTGATTCTCTTTTTTTAAACGGCGTTCCTTCTTCACTGATTCATTCTTTCTAGTTAACATGCAAAGGGAAGCTTCAATGAAATTCACGTTCGGATTTATTTTCCTTTTAAATTTCTTTTAAATTATACTTCAAAGTGTCAATCGAAATACAGATACACATATTTGTAGCCGTCGAAACGTTGGGGATACCATTGATTTTTTTTCGCTTATTAACTACATTTACATCGGTACGTCCAGTAATCAAAGTGACAAACTGTTGAGTACAATTTAAATTTTGCCAGTTCTATTTTTGGATACATCACACGCAAATAGCAATTTCTCATCGAGCATTCAAAAAAGCTGTCTCCGGTTCCTATTAAATTCCAAATACACATCATGCATAGCGAATTTTCCAATAATTACGCAATTAAAAATGAGTATCGTGCCGATCGTAGTGTACGATTTCCTAGGTAAATTTAGCGACACACTGCTGACCGGAAATACATAGGACGAAAATGCAATTGGTACAAAAACAAAAGTTCGTTGCCATGCATATTGCACGTTATGCTACAGAGTTCACTGAACCTAGGTGCAATGATCATTTGAAAGTCTTTTTCCATTTTTTAAATGCATTTCGAATTTGCGTATTTTCCATGGGTTCATCAACCAGCAATTGTCCGAAATATAGCACAAATTGAGCGGTAATCATTGAACTAAAGTGAACGCCCGCAGTTATATTGATGCAAAACGTGTCAATAATAATATTAATTAATTTCGTACATTTAATTTTCATTGCTATATTATTGAGTATTTATAGGGTACAAAGAAAATTTGTTGAAATTATGATTTTACAAACACACCATTTCCACGGTTTTACCGCTTACTACTACTGATACAAATAGCATTAGTAACTAACAGATTGAAACCAAAAGGTCGAATTAAAAATTACTAAATATAGGTAAACAAAAAATAAGAATACCAACAGAACAAAAGGCATCGATAATTACTAAAAAAAGAGAAGAAACAGTTAAACATGAATGAATGAAACAACATGAAAAAAATATTTAATGAAATGCAAGATGAGATGAGATGAAAAAGGATACCGAAAATAAAAGTGAAAAAAATATCAGGAAACGATAATTGTAGAAACTAAAAGTATTTGAAATAATTCGTTTTCGTATCATATTGATCTTGTGATTCGTAGAAATAAATCCGGTAGAAACGCCTATGCGACGAAACTTTTTTAATATAACCGTGGGCGACCAAACCCTTTTTTTTGAATTGTGACTTTAGAATAATAATTTATGCAATATATTCTAGCATATTCTGTACTTTTAAGAAAGTTGTTACAACAGATAAGTTTTAAAGTTTCATGTCAAGTAGCTTGTCTCAAAATCACAAAGCGCAAAGTCTCAAAGCAGTAATTATAAGCGCGCTCTGAAAAATCTTCAACAAACTGAGAAATTCCGTTTCGGAGATAACCAAGACTTTATTTGCGGTTTGTTCGTTTAAGGATATTACTAACAAGAAATATGTAAGTATAATATCTGATTAATGAAAGAGAACTTGTAAGCCTTTTTAATATTGCCTAATAAAAATTTACCCGAAATTATTCTTATAACATAACGTTGTGTTAAATCACGGAAAAGGGATGATTGTTTAACCGACCCTCTCGCCTTGAGTATTTCAAATACCTCTATAGGTAACAGTTGTTTAACAGGAATGTTAATTAATTTTCATACTCAGCGTCGGTATATCATTGCGAGTTTTGTTCGCTTTTATCTCTGCTCTTGATAAAGAGGAAAATATTTTAGGGGTTTATTAGAGTCGTTTGCTCAAAATTTGTTGCCTGAAATTATGAAATAATCTTTGAAGATGAAGTGAGATGAATTGTACCTTCAAAAATGCAATTTTAAAGCATATTACCTTAATAAAAATGAATCAGAAAGTTAATATAAAAAATCCGATTTTCTCTTGGCAAATAATTTGCTCGCTTTAATCTGTTTTTGAAATAAGAAGATAAAATATTCGCTACACGTGTTTTATCCAAAAGTATTCAAGTGAAATTAACCTCTTGTATGTGAAACCTAATGGAAGCAATTTCGCTTATTGAAAGAGACGAACAAAAATAAAATACAGCGAAAGTTGAAGATCTAGAAAGTAATTATCTTGACTCATTCAAGTTAAAATCAAATCATCATTCCGCCTTGTTGAGATAAATTGAGGTAAATATCATGTGAAGCAGATTCTCTGATTTATTCCCTGATTTACTGAATTAATACTCTTTATTTACTCTCAAAAACAAAGTATTTACTCAATATTATTTTATCTATAATTCAAATCTCAAATATTCACGAATGAAAAAAAAAATAATCGTTACGTATCGACAGAAGGTCCTTTATACCAACAAAGTTTCCAACGAGAATGTGGACCGAGGGATGGTTACTTTAAAGAAATGAGAACCTCGAAAGTTAGGATTTTTTCGTAACTTTTCTTTGAAGTTTTTCTTTCAAAGAAATCAAATACAGCTTCTGAATTTGTCATCTCCATTAAATTTTCTTACGTATTTATACATTAGGAGTGGAATTTGTTTCTTAATTCGCGAATATATCGATTAGGTGCATGAAAAATGTAGAAGTTCACAAGTAAGTGACAATAACAGTAAAAGTACATTTAGTGTGAACTTCAATTGTATGTTGCCATACCAATTTTCGATCGAATTCCATTTATGTATTGGGAATTATTTAGTAAAAGGTTAGCACTTCATCTCATATAATCTCTTTCCTTTATACATACCGAGTATACAACGGCTTTTCCAAATAATAGCAACAGAACCATTTATGCTGTTGAAACTGTTTCTTTTGAAGTGGATCCCTGTCGGGAAGCATCCCCAGATATCCATAACGTTTTTGGAAGATAAATTACATACTTCACAGGTCTTCTTTACTCTATTCTTATTTTCTGGTATTACCATATTTATTTTTCAAGGCTGATTGTTTCCGTTTATAAAAAAAACGATTCAAACGGGAAATAAAGTCATGTCAAAATTCCGTACAATTCGAGAAAATACGACACTAGATACCGAATTGCTATTTTAAAATTCATATCTTATTTTAAATATATTGCAAGGTCCTATAATACGAGTTTTTTTTAACGTTTCTCTTTACACATGCCGTATATAAAAGTCTTAAGGAACTAAGGACAGGTAACATTGTTTTTTATTAGGAAAGCCCGCACCGCTCAAAGCTAGAGTTTATATCCCTTTCGCCGAGATTATCCTTTCATTATTTTCTTTTTCTTAGTACCTAACCATAACGAACAGCCTTTAACGCGACTCACAGAGATTAGAATTTAAGAAAATAACTGGTTTGCGCTGAAATACTTCTGGAACGGAAAAAAATTATGAAATTTCACCATCCCCTTTTCATTATGAACATATACATTTTGCGCAGAACAAAAAATGTATTTAAATACAATAAATGTGCGCTTTATTGAGTTTTTGTGTCATGAAAGTATAATAAATTGTTTCCAATATTTCCATAATGTAACTTTAAAAAATGACCGATAAATGCACTTCACGCCATTTGTGTATAAATGATAGAAAACGTGTAGCAAAATAGATACGAAAGCATTTATGATATTTCAATGTCATAGCTTTCCTTTTTATCTTGGTTTGAGGACGTAATCGACATTTGATGTAGCTTTTAAAATAAAATACCTACATTGAAACGTTATATTCTTTGGGAACGCGCACACTTACAGAAAATACCAAATAAAATTGAAATGATTATTATTAAAATATCAATTAACATTTGCTCAGTCACGTTGCAAGAGTTTCGATTTTATTAGTTAAAGTGTAAAATTGCTCTATACAACTTTTTGTAAGTTTTATTATTGGGATAACAGTATTTGAACAAGTTAAAGTTGAAAGTACAGAGAGAAAAATACCGATGCTGCTTGGTTTTATTGTTGTTTTCCCCTGTGTAGGACGAAAAGAATCAGATTCTCACGACAAACGCTTGGTTAAATTTGGTAAGTGTCATGGGGTCTGTCCGACTTCACGCAATGTTTTAGCAGATCAAACACTTACTAAATGCCTGGAAAAAGTCGGTGTTTGATGCTGTTGTTGAGTGGCTATTGATCGTATATATAAATATATATATACATATATCTCTATAGCTCCCGAGGCTATAAAGACCAAACTATCATTTTCTGAAACTCTATTGTGTCCTTTACTATAAAAATTTTATACAGCGAGAAAATTTCTACACCTTTTGTTATTTTTAAGACGACATACAAAAATTCCTTTTTTTATTGGTAATTTATAATCTAGAATGTCATACTTGAGCATCTAGGAGTTTGAGCACCTACACTAAAATAATGTACTACATAAACACATAGTGGGTAAAATCTTAAGAATATTCCCTATTTTTATCAATAATAATTTTAGGGATTATTCTTCGGGTAATAAATAATAAACACATGTGGCACTTCACTATTTACATCACATTTAGATACACTTAATAATAATAATAAAATTACACAAAATAAATTTATGCTTGGATGTGGATTGTTACGAATTATCTGTAACATATTAACTTTTAAAACACTTCAAAAATGCCCTCGTTATTGAATTAACTATTTTTTGTTCCTCTTTTCTAAGCTCTTCACATTCTATAAGGCTTGCGTAGTCTTTCAAACTCGTTACGTTGTTCTCGCACATTTAACTACTAAAAACTTTTCTGCATATTTAGGTATATTTTCCCGGTTTCACTTTTATGCTTTCCGAGAGCCCGCGTAAATAGCGATAATTGAACGCGACAAAAACCGTCGCTTTGACGCTGGTAAATTTGTTCATTTTATATTTCCATATTATAGTTTATTTATCATCGGTTTACGGACGTGCCCCTGTTTTTCCATGTTTTCTTTCCGACTTATTCTAATGGGACAGTCGCAGTTTTCTTGAAGAATTTATTCTCGCACAGAATAGCAGCGGTGAGCTATAAATAGGATTTATATAAAAAAGGATTCCCTGATAAAAATCGCAATACTACTATTTTTGCCGCCTTTTTTTCGTTTACATAGAGAAAATTGAATGTATGCGAACGAACACGTCAAATATACTCTACATTTTATGATCTTGAATGAACCATTTCAGATATATGGAAGTTTCCTGAACTACTTAAAAGTTTTTATATCGGAACATATTTCAATTTTTAATGAGAAAAACCGGTTAAAAGTTGATCTTCATGATAGGAGTACATAAAATTTAAACTATGATAAATATATTTCTAGAGGAAATCGTTCACTTGCCAAGCAACAAATTGAATTTCTAATATCAAATTTAACTTGCTTGGGAGTTTTTACATTCTTTTAAAATGCATACATAAATTAGTTAATCCTATAATTTTGAATAAAATTTAAAATTAACAAAACGGAGTTGAATTAATAAAATTGCGTGCAGGTATTTAACAAATTGAAAAGATTATGTATGCGCGTTTAGTAATATTAATAAAACTACCGTCTCAATTGAAAATATACAATAGATACTTTATAACGATTTAATATGAAAATATTCATGTAAATAAATTTAGTAAAAAAGAGCTTTTTAGGTATATACCACACAAGGTAATATACAATTAAAAAAATATCGAATTTCTATGTTCGCTTATATCCAATTTCATTATTAGCTGATAGGTGTCCAAACCGAATGAATATGTCTTTTTTTATGATGACGTGCTTGAGAAAATAAAATCTATATTATGAAATATTATAAAATCTCAATAGAATTTAATTCATTTTTCACATTTGACCAATTGATACACTATAAAGTAAACTTCAGTGAAAGGGCAAGGTTAATTAGGCGGTTGTCGCTTCCTGGAAATTCACTGAACTACAAAATTTATTGGTTTCTATTAGAATTTTCTCTACCATTTCCAAACATATAGAGCAAAGTTCGTTAAAGCAAAGACCAAACGAACACATTTAATATTTCATTATAATGCCAATAATCTGTTAATGGAAAATCTAATTTCAGTACAGCCTTATTACCTTTAATATAACCACACATAGGACTTGAAACAAGCCGAAAATCGTATAGTAGAATTATGCATGCACGTACTACGTAGTCAGAATATAGTGATTGATTTCTGCAAATCATAGAACCTCTGCGGGATTAGGGACAAATCCGTAGAGCCCTTGAATTCTATATTTAGAACTGCATTGTCCGTTGCATATATGCATATATGCACATCAATGATTAATATTCCAAAATGAAATACTTTTACTAATTGGATTAATTTTATACAATGAAATAATAATTCAATGGTACAACTGCGCATAACAATAGGTTGTGTGTACACATAACACTTAACCTAATTCCTTATTATTATTCCTCTACTACGTTCGCCCTGATCGTTTAATTTCGATTCAGATGTGATTTTCTGATGATACCTATTACGTAATAAAAACCTACATCCAAGCTTTTTTATTTGTGTAAAAATTATTGTAAAAGATGTTAAAAAGAGGAAGGTTTGAACGTCGCTCGCATTGATAAAGTAAAGGCGATAATAGCATTTTATTAATGATATTTTGATCTTTTATTAAAGTACAACTAGCTGGGTGAGAGAGGAAACTCAGTGACCTTGTGCTATGCATGCCTTGTTATGTTACTAACAATCGTTGTTTTCCCTTTTTATTGTTTGACCATAGGACGAGAAGAACCAACTCCTAATAACAAATATTTGGCTTTCTTTGGTAAGTGAAAACCAATAGACTAACTAAATTATATACACACACGGCAGGTCTTTTGATTGTATTTTCATCTGTATATTTTTTAATCTTCTTTCGTTCTTAGTTCTGAAGCTATCAGATTGGTATGATGTGGTGTTGCCCTCTTTTTACCTGTACAAAGCTAGTATTTTTAAAGGCAACCTAATTTAACCCCCTAGATGTTTCTTGCCTATTTCCCTGTAAAAAGTTGGTTTAGTGTTGAAGTTTTCAAGTTTTTTGCTCAGTTTTGATTATAGTTATTTGTATCTCGTCTGTTCTGATTTGTATTTAATTTTTGACAATTGTGGAAGCAAAACTATTTTCTTAATAACTCAAACTTTTTTTTTAATAAAACGTTTACATTGTAAATATTATAGGTGTTGCAATTTTGCTTCCAAATTGTAACCAATTAAAACATTAATTTTACTGATTTAGATAAACAATGAACGATACTTGATTTCTTTATTTTACTTATTATTTAACAAAAATTATTGATACCTCGGTACCATCATAAACCTCGGGTTGTCGATTCAAAAAATGAACAACAATTTGATAATTTTTCAAATAAGCTTTCCAAAGAAATTAATATATTTTTTTATTCACCACCATAGTCTATAGAGGTATTAAACTCAATAATAACTAAAGAACATACATTGTTAATATTCATATCTTTACGTATTCGTAGAGAATTCAATAAAATTCGATTTAACTTCGCAGGTATATTCGCTCCATCTTTTAAATCTGATTACTAAACTGTTACTTTAATATCTACCAAAAATGATGTCGTGGATAAACTTATTACGTATATTCCACTAGCGTATACCTAATACTATATATCCTAATATGCTGGTTAAATAATGTCTATTGTTGTCATTTTTTGAATTGTAAGCTAATCCCTACTTAGATATTTTTATATTTTATTTTTTATTAGTTTTAACTTCTTACATTAATGTATAATTGCTGGTGTGAAGTACAAATGTACAGTAAAAATGTTTCAGTTGCTCACTTTAAAATATGAAAGATTTCTTATATTTTTCCAGTGATTTTCCAGAAAAATATCCACATATCTTATCCTTATTGTCGGTATTTCAAGGTTAAGGTTTATCCGAATGTTGTTGCTTCTAAACGACACAAGATTTGTGTTGATACAATATCTTATTGTTAGTATGTATACATAGTTTAAAAATTTAACGTTCAGAATTCTGAGAAAACCATGTATCAAAGAGAAGTTTAGGAATGTACGTATAGACTTTAATGGATTTGTTTGTGTAAGTCGAGTACTTGGAGAAGCTTTGTATTGTACCTACGTATTTAAAAGAGAGGCCTTTGAGGGAATTTTAGATAATCTTGCCCTTGAAATTATTCTATAAAATAGACATATTTTGCATAATATATCGCCAATGCGTAGTTACTTTATCTGTCTGGAATTTCTAAAAGATAGTAAGCTATTTTATTAATTTCAGCTGAATTGTTGACTGAAATATTCTGTACATGTGTCAAAAAAATCTTACACGTCCCCCTAATCATATACCAAAAAAAAGCTTTCAATTAGTAGAAATCGCTGATTCGGCATATTAACGTTGAGCTTATCTGAGAATTCCAGTCAAGCTTTCGACGAATAAGGCAAAAAATAAGGGAAGAATAGACGGTTTTCCTACAGATGTTGCACAAATGTGACAGGCTCCATTTTATTTCATTAAATATTTTTTTATAGAAATTCGCCAGGATTTGTAACAATTGTTATGTGGGAGAATGTTTTGTTGAGGTGTAGGCATTTTCGTACGATTGATCGTTAATAAATAATCATTGCCGTAAACGAAATTACGCTAGACCAAAATGCGAAACCTTTGCTTGGTATAAGGACGTAATTTGGCGAAGAATGGAATCGTTGTTCCAAAATCATATCAGATCTCAGACTTAATTTAGCTATCTCGAATTCGGAAACCTAATATGCCACGTGATCTGGCTCAGGGAACCGATTTCGTATCCCATTGTTTCATTAATTACTATTCAAATTACTGCACATAGCGCCCAATCCTTTCGGAAAATGTGGATTTCGGATAAATAAAAACCTTCTCGGAAGACCTAAAAAAACATTATTACGCTTTCTTTAAAAAACTGTACACTTGTAATTGGGGAGTATTTCCATATTTTTTGCGGATGAGCTACTTTGACAAAGCCTTTTCGAGACGTCTAATACACGTTCGGAAATATGTAGATGGAATAAGAGTTTTCAATATCATCTCAATATCGATTGGAGG